GAGCTCGCCCTCATGGAGCTGAAGTTTTAGGGTCAACAATGACCAAGCCAACTAAACGGGAATGCGACAAGCCCAGGAGGTGCGTGCTGTCAAAACTGAACCACGTGGGCTGATGCAGAGTGGCTAGCTGATCACAGAGAACTCATCCTCCGGAAAAAGGCCCAGGAGGCGCCCAGCCAGGCCTCAGGCCAGCCTCAAGCGGCCTGGGTGCGGAGGGACTGGGGTCTAAGGGGCCGTGTGGCCTGGGGCTGGCCTCAAGCCCTCCTGCAGCTTGTCCTGGGGGGGGGACGAGGTGGGACGGGAGTCTTCAGCCCCAGGGCAATACGAAGCACCCGGCCAGCCCTAAAGGGACGGTGGCAGGGGCGGCTTGGCATCCTTGGCCTCCCTGCGTGAGACGGGGTACCTCTCCGCCCGTGAAGCCCCGAAAGAGGAAGCGAGGCAGACTCGCGCAGCCTGGTGCTGCCCCCTGGTGGCGATGGCTGGGATGACCGGAGACCGAGGCAAGGCGCATCTTCACTTCCCACTCAAGAGTGTCTGAGCTCAGATGCACCAGCGTCCCAATCTTGCGTTATGGGGACCATCGTCCCCAAAATCCCCAGAGAAGGAGGCAGTCCCCAACTCCATCCCAAGATGTATAACCTCAAGCCTATGCAAAGCCCCTTGCGCTCTGGGCCGTAAAATCGGAAGGATTTTAAGCCAAATGGGGTGGGCAGATCACTCACTCATTCATTCATTCACACGGTCAATCTGTATTTGTGCAGCTCCTCCTCTATACGCGAGCTGGGGCATGCAGAGGGCAAAAAGCAGGCATCAAACCGCAGACCATAACGCACACAGAGATATAACGTGGTCCGAAGGCGGGGGGCGGGGTGGGCGGGGGGGTCAGGGGACGAAGTGAGAAGAGGGAATGGGCAAACACATCAGCACGTGGCGGCAGAAAGGACTGAGCAGGAAAGCCTCGCTGGCTGTTTCAAGACTCTCGGGTGTGAAAACCATGGAATCGGTAAAAGAGCTGCAGAGAGAGGGGTTCAGAGGGCCCCCCGCGGGGGAGGTGGAGCTGGTAGAGGCTCTCCAGACCGAAGAGGAGATACCTTTTTTCCAGGAAGACAAAATCTCTGTGGGAATCTGGAAAGGGCTTACTTAAGGCGCTTTTTCTCCATCAGCTGAATAACGTTTGTAACAATTCACAAATCTAATGTGTCTGTGATGTACGTGGCTCTGATACGCCAGGCACAGCTACCTCCATGCCCATATTCTCTGCCTTCGCAGGCAGCACCTACATGTTTACTGCGTCTCACAGCTTGACCTGTTTCAGAACTTCAAATATATAGGCTCACAGGAGACATACTCTTCTGAGTCGGGCTTCTTGTGCTCAAAATCATTTTTTGAGACACATTCATCTTGCTGAGTATACCAGTAGTTCATTGTTTTCACTGCTGTGCAGAATTCCTTGGAATAAATATACATGACATGATGATCCACCCACCTGTTGACAAATATTTGGTTGTTTCTAGATTTTTGGCTATTAGGAATCAAGTTACTATGAATTTTCTCATATAGGCCTTTTTTCTTTTTTTGAACATGTGTTTTTTTTTCTCCTGGGTAAAAACCTGGGAGTGGAAGGAATTCCCTGGAGGCGGTCCAGTAGTTAGGACTCTGCATTTTCACTGCTGAGGACCAGGGTTCAATTCCTGGTCAGGGAACTAAGATCACGCAAGCCATGCAGCATGGCCAAAAAATAAAGACACAAATAAATAAAGACCTCGGAGAGGAATTCCTAGTCCCAGGTGTGAGGAGGTTTGCCTTCAGGAGAAACTGCTGGTTTTTTTTTTTTTTCAAAATGATGAATGAAGCATTTTACACTCACACCAGCAGCGTAGGAGGGTTCTAGTTATCTTGAATGCGTGTCAACACTCAGATTGTCTGTTTTTAAATAATCAGTGGAGGGACTTCCCTGGTGGTCCAGTGGTTAAGACTCCGTGCTTCCACTGCAAGGGGAGCAGGTTCAACCTCTGATAGGGAACAAAGATCCCATATGATGCACAGCCAAAAATCAATCGATCAATCAATAACTAAGTGAAAAGACTCCACTTCCCTCCAACGTATTTATAAGTAAAAAATAAATTTTAACCATTGGTAACTCTGCCTTTTAATTTGCATCTCCTAGATGAATAGGGATGAGGATCTTTTAATGTGTATGTTGGTCATTTCTCTATCTTCTTTTGTGAAGTCTATTCAGGTTTTTTGCCCACTTTTAATATTGTGAGTTTTTTTAGTTATTGAGTTGAAGGAATTCTTTTATACTCTGTATACTTGTCCTTTGGCCTGTAAATATTTTCTCCTAAACTGTAGCTTGCCTTTTTATTGTATCTATAGATGGTATCTTTTAAGAGGCAGGTGCTTTGATGAACTAGTCTTTCAAGTTTTTCTTTTATAGCTTGTGCTTCATGCCTCGTGGTGTGTAAGAAATCTTGATACATGATCACATTTGTTAGCTTTCAGTTGCTTTCCGTTTTTTGGTGTTGCTTTTTTCTTTTTTATATACTTCCTTTTTCATTAGTAAAAATAATGGTATGGTTCCGAAGTCAAACTCGTGAACAAGAGAGAGAGAACCGGCTTCCATTTTCAACATTAACCATTTTAGTTCTTAATTAATCTTTCTTTTATTTCTTCTTGGAAATTATTTATCTCCCTCTCCGTTTGCTTACACTGAAAGGAGTGCTATATAGGGAATTCCCTGGTGGTCCAGTGGTTAGGACTCAACACCTTCACTGCTGTTGTCTTGGTTTAATCCCTGGTTGGCAAACCAAGATCCCACAAGCCACATGGCAATAACCAAAAAAAAAAAAAAGGAGTACTATATATACATAAAAACACATATCTTCTTGTTTGTTTTTGGACAAGATATCCTGGAGAGGTTGCTCCATAGTAATATATAAAGATTTTCCTCTTTTTTCTCTTTTCCCCTTTCTCTCCTCCCTCTCGCCCTTTATTTCGGGTAGCTGAAGAGTCCCTATATGGATGGACATTTGAGTTATTTCTAGTTTTTTGTTGCTACTCTGAATAGCCTGGTGCCTACCTCACCTGATATTTTCGCTAGTCTGTCTTTAGCAGTCCTTTGGGGTCACAGAGAGTCAGACACGACTGAACAACAACAACACATCTTTAGGATGGATTTCTAGAAATAGTATTGATGGTCAGAGGGTCACCCATCTGTAATTCTATTATGTACGTGCGCTCAGCTGCTCAGTAGCACCTAAAATAATTGCCATCCCATGGACTGTAGCCCGCCAGGCCCCTCTGCCCATGCAGTTCTCCAGGCAAGAGGACTGGAATGAGTAGCCATTCTCTTCTCCAGGGGATCTTCCCGACCCAGAGATCAAACCTGAGTCTCTTATGTCTCTCCTGCTTTGGCAGATGGATTCTTTACCACTGTGCCGCCTGGGCATTCTGTTGGATATCACCAACACCTGCTTCTAGTTCTTGTATGGGAAAACTTGTTCCCCGCCCCTTCCCATTCACCATAATTATTGCTTTCTGCCAATCAGATGGAAGCAGGGCTATCTTAGACTATCTTGGACATTCTGGGGGCGTAATGAGAAGCCGTGGAGTATACGGGTCAAACAAACAGACATCCATTCGTGACCTAACCCCGGCTGTGCGCTTCTTGGCTGTGACTCTAGGTGGAGCTGGGAGCCAGCCCCAGTGTGGAGGTTGCCCTCTACCATCGGGACCATCTCTTCCAGCTGTTTTCTGTCACCAGTCATCTCCCAATAAAATTGCTGGCTTTACTCCCTGCACCGAATCTGTTACCTGGGTTACAGCATTTGATCCTATTACAACCCTATGAAGTAGCTATCTTACCCCCATTTTACAGATGGGGAAGCTGCGGGATGGAGGGTTAGAGAGAGCTAGAGTTTTGCCCAAACTCACAGCTAAACAAGCTGGAGAGGTAGCTAGACTCTGAGGTGACATATAGACTGACACGTTTGTGTGTGCACATATACCTGCGTGCTTATCCACACAGCTGCGTGCCTGTGTTCATACACAGACGTGTGTGTGTGTGTGTGTGTGTGTGTGTGTGTGTGTGTGTGTGTGTATTCCCAGGTGGCGCTAGTGGTAAAGAACCTGCCTGCCAAGGCAGGAGACTCAAGAGACGCAGGTTCCATCCCTGGATTGGGAGTTTTCCCTGGAGAAGGAAATGGCAACCCACTCCAGTATTCTTGCCTGGAGAATTCCATGGAGAGAGGAGCCTGGCGGGCCACAGTCCATAGGGTTGCAAAGAGTCGGACACAACTGAAGTGACTCAGCACATATATACATACACATGTATACCTGTGTACATACACCTACCTGCATTTCTAAAGAAGACGTGAACATCCTCACAGCTACATCTCTGTGTCCATGGGGTGAATGAATGAATTGCTCACGACAGAATAACTAGCTCTTTCTTCTTTGACCGTGCCATGCACCACCAAACCAGAGATTGAACCTGGCACCCAGCAGTAGAAGCACGACTCTTAACCACTGGACCACCAGGGAAGTCCCCGGATTCATATTTTTTTAAAATATTTATTTATCTGGCTGCACTGGATCTTAGTTGTGGACCACGGGCTCAGAAGTCCCACGACAAGTGGGATCTTAGTTCCCTGACCAGGGATTGAACCCACGTCTCCTGCATTAGAAGGCAGATTCTAAACCACTGGACCACTGGGGGAGTCCCCTGGATTCATATTTTTAAGGCTCCCACCCTGCCCTCTGACCCCGGCCAGTTTCCGATGGGCTGTCAGCGTGGAAAGGGGGCATCATCTGATCTCTGAAGATTTCTCAGGCTGGGCCGGTGGAGACCCCGCCCCCTCCCACAGGGAATGGGGACAAAGCCCCCCCACCCTGGCCACTGTGAGGACGCACATCACAATGGCTGTTCCACCCGAGCCAGGCCCAGCAAGAGGCACTGGGGTGACCTGCACTCCCGCCCCCTGCCGCAGCCAGGCTGCAGGATGGGGGCCTCCCGAGGCCAGCACCAGGCTGCTCCGAGCTTGGAACCCAAAGCTGCCCAGACACCACCGCTGGAACAGACCTCCTGGGCCCCAGGAGGGTATTACACCCAGGGTGAGGGTCTCCTCATTCAGGTGACACGCTGACTGCAGGGGCCCCCAAGGCAGGGGCAGGGAGGCTACGGGTCACCTTGCTGAACTGGGTCTGATTCCCGAGAGCTGATGGGGGCGAGGTGGGGCCCCCATGGCCTGTACCCTCAAATTATCCATAGACTGATGACTGCCATCAGTCATATCCATAGACTGGCTGCATATCAGGTATGACGCGCCCCTCCACCCACAGCCCACCCAGGGGCCAGAGGCAACCTGGAATGCCCTGGGGGTTGGGGAGGGGAGGGAGGAGGGTCCTGGCTATGCTGCCATGGCCTCAGGTAAGTCCCCAAACCTCTTTTCTCATCTGAGAAAGGGTTGGGAGGGTTCAAAGAGATGAAGGATGTAGGGCTGGGCAGTCAGTAACCGGGTTTGAGCTCAGAAGGACTTTCCAGCTGGTGGTCCCGGGCCAGGTGGTTTAATTCCTGACCTTTAGTTTCTGCATCTGTAAAATGGGTACAAATTCCAGCCCAGGCAGGGCTACAGGGACCAGATGGGCAGGAAACCACCACTGCTCCCACAGAGCCTACACTGAGTGGTGAGAAGTGGGGAGGGGCTTCCTGGTCTCCGGTTGCCCCCACTCTGGGAGGAGGCATGGGTGGGGGACGGCCCAGGTGCCCCCCTCAGCCTTGAGACTCCTTTCCCGAGAGGACCAGGTCCCCATGCAAAGCCCTGGAGAGGTTTCCAGTAAAAACACACAGAGTCCCCACCCATCGCCCACACTGGTTAAGATTCGGGGGCTCCCCACCTCCCCTCCAGATCGCCCTCTGGATATCCAGGATCCCAGAATTTCCTCCCCCAAACAGCCTCACGCCTGCATCCAGGGCCTGGGCGACGAGGCTTCCCAGGGCCCTGGGGGCAGCCTGAGGGCTGACTCCTGGGAGGCGAGGAGCTGAGCCCCCGGTGGTCAGGAGGGAGACAAGGCTGAAGAAGGGGGCCGGCCTGGGGCCCAGACAGTTCTTCCCGGAAGCAGCAGATGGGATGCTGCATCTTCTGGAGCTGTCCTGACCAGAGGCAAGGGACATGGCACTTAGGATCCCGTGCTCAGGAAGCAGGCTGACTTCAGTTCCATCCTTGACTCTGACGTTTGTGCTGGGTGACCTCAGGCAAGCTGCTTAACCTCTCTGAGCCTAGCTTCCACATCTGCAAAATTGGAATAATGCCACAATCCACCTTGTTGGTGTTTCAGTGAGAGTAAACTAAGACAGACATGTGAAGTGTTCAGCACAGAGTCTGGCACGTAATAAAGGCTGATTATGAAAGTGTTATTCACTCAGACGTGTCTGTAGCCCGCCAAGCTCCTCTGTCCATGGGATTCTCCAGGCAAGAATACTGGAGTGGATTGCCATTTCCTTCTCCGGGGATTACAAAAAGAAGGAAAGAAAGAGAAGGATAGATTATGGGGTCTGCGTAATTTCTGCAGCCTCAAGTCCCTGGCGTTGCCTCCAAGAAGAGCTTTGCATCCTAGGACACCCAGAGCACAGCGGGGTCAGAAATGGCTGGGTTCAAATCCAAGCTCTTCCATCTGCTGGCTGAAATACCGCTGGCAACTTCATCCATCCCTCCAGGCCTCAGCTTTCTGTCCTGTAAAATGGGCCCCTGCCTCAGACCAGCCAAGTTTTCAGCTCAGCACCTGGCAGTCAGCCAGCCTCCTAAGGGTCTAAGGGTGTTTTTCCTTCTTTTCTCCTCCAAGGGCCTCCTCCTCATTCTCCTTCGCCTCCAGGACTTGGAGGGCCTCTGCCTCCTCCGCCGATGTCTGTTTACCCAGGTGAGCGCTCCTGCTGTCCCCCCATCGCCCCCTCCACGCCTCCTTCCCTAGGCTTTCCAGTCTCACTCCGCACTGCCCTGACCACTCGACAAGACTGTCCGAACAGCACCTGCTCTGGGAAGCCCGGCGTCCTGCTCCCAGAGCAGTGTGAGCCGCCCGCCACAGGTGTGACCCCCACGCTGCCCACAGCCTGGAGCCCTTCTCTCTAATGCCAGCCATGGGTGGAGGGGGCTGGGACACAGTAGGTGCTCAGGAAAGGTCTATGGAAAGAAGCCCTGTTCTCGACTCTGTGGATCTATTGCTCTGGAAACCAAAGAGGAGAGGAGTTCAGACTCCACCCACCCACGCACTCAACTCTGTAGGGTCTGGGCCTTGGGGAGATTTTTTTTTTTTTTGGCTGCACTGCATGGCAACTTGTGGGATCTTAGTTCCCTGACCGAGGATCGAACCTGTGCCCCTGGCAATGGAGGTGTGGAATCCCAACTACTGGACCACCAGGGAAATCTGGAGGTGGGGGAGGGATTTTTAAGTAAAGAAAAACTTTGAGAGCTGCTGGACTGGGCCATCAAGTCCAGTGGGGGAGAGTGAGCTTTAAACCATGGGTCACCCCCGCCTAGCCAAACATAGTTCTTTCCCTTGGTTTCCTGCCAAACTAGGGGTGGGGGTGGCACCCCCACATTAGAGCCCAGCTCTCCAAACCCCAGCACCCTCTCCCCTCAGCCCCTCGGGAACCTAAAGTCTGTAAGGGTCACAAGCCCCTCCTCACAGCTCAACAGTCCACCCAGACCAGACTTGAAGCCTTCCGTCTAGAGTGTGAAAACTCCCTGGAATCCTATTTTCTTAACAAAATATTCAGCCACTACCAAAGACTTCACCTCTACACACCCAAGATTGTAAAAATGGTTGCTGTGTTTAAAAAAGCTAAAAACAGATCAACTTTTTTTTTCTGGAACCCCCACCACAAAAAAAATGCTGTGCCTGGGTAAGAAGAGGCAAAAATACCAAAAGGAAGGGTTTGGGGGGGTTGTTGTTTTCAAGCTACTGCTTCCCCAAGGGTGTCACTTAGAGTTGTTGCTTTTTAAAAAAAAACTGAATATAGTTGCTTTTTGAGGCAGCTTCCCAAGTAGCCCTCATGGTAAAGAACCTGCCTGCCAAGTAACAGACGCAGGTTCGATCCTTGGGTCGGGAAGATCCCCCGGAGGAGGGCATGGCAACCCACTCCAGTATTCTTGCCAAGTCTTGTATGGACAGAGGAGCCTGGTGGGCTACAGTCCACGGGGTCCCAAAGAGTCGGACACGACTGAGCGACTGAGTATGCATGCATGCTTTATTGTGATCATTGTTTTCTGCCCGCGCGCAGAGTTGCTTTACAATGTTTTAGTTTCAGGAGTACAGCAAAATGAATCAGCTAGTTATACGTACAGCCTTTTTTTTAGATTCTCTTCCTGTATAAACCATCACAGAGTATTTGAATCGAGTGCCTGTGCTGTACCGTAGGTCCCTATAAATTATCTATTTTATACAGGGTGGAGTGTATATGTCAAGCCCCATCTCCCAGTTTATCCCTCCCCCCACTTAAGAGCTTGCAGAATCAGAAGCACAATTGAACTTAGAACAGTGTGCAAAAAACTAAGAACAATTGCAGAGTCAGAAGCAGATACTGGCTAACTGAACTGAATGCACCCAAAGGGGAATATATGGGTAAAAACTCACAGGGCTGAAGGGACTCGGTTCAAACCCAGAGACGCCCCTAAATTCCCTAGTGCTTGGGGGTGGGAGGCCTGGAAGTCTTAACTGAGGGAAGCCCCCAAGCCCTGGAGGCTGGTTGATAGGGGGTGGTGCAAGGGGGAAGCTGGGCCCATCGGGATGGCCTGGAGAAATTGCAGGTGGGGGCGGGCCCCCTGTGGTGGACACAGGAGCGGGGTGGAATGGGGGTGGGGCGTGGGGTCTGACGGGTCCCTCCCCTCCCCCCTCCTCAAGAACTGTTCAGGGTGCCGAGAGTGCTGTCCCCAGATCCGGTACAGTTCACGTGTCCATACTGCATGAACCAGATCGTCACCGTGACCACGCCGGTCCCAGGCGTGCTCACCTGGCTCATGTGCACTGGCATCTTCGTGGCTGGGTGAGTGGTCCCCCCTCGCCTCCGGCGGGGCCCTGGGAATCCGTGCTGGGAGCCTGCTGGGTTGGGGCGGGGGGCTGGCATGGGGCGCGGAGGGAGGGGTGGTTTCCTAGCCCACCTTGCCGGCCGGGCAGCCCCAGGGACGGGGTGGGGGGCTCACAGGCTTGGCTTGGCCCCCGGTGAGTCCCCGCTGCTTCCGAGGCTGCAGGTGTCTCTTGGGCTGCTGCCTCATCCCCTTCTGCGTGGACAGCTTGATGGACGTGAGGCACACGTGCCCCGTGTGTCTGCAGGAGCTCTTCCTCTACAAACGCCTGTGAAATAAATGCTGATTAGGTGACTGCTCTCTGCCCGCATCTGTCTGCAGGGGGAGGCCGGGAGAGTGCTGGCACACAGGAGGTGCCCGGGCTGACTGGGCACTGAGGGGCTGACTGATGGCGTGCCTACTGGCCCTCCCTTCTCAGGCTCCACCCTCATCTTTCCTTCCTGACTCTTGCCCATCAGACTTCTCTGCTGGCTCAGATGGTTAAGAATCTGCCTGCAAATGTGGGAGACCTGGGCTCGATCCCTGGGTTGGGAAGATTCCCCTGGAGAAGGGAATGGCGATCCACTCCACGATTCTTGCCTGGAGCATTCCATGGACAGAGAAGCCTGGTTCGGGGCTCCACTCCATGGGGTCGCGAAGAGTCGGACACGACTGAGCGACTAACACTTCTTCCATCAGTCAAGCTTCATCATCTTTGTGACAACATCTCTGCAACTCCAGCCAGAGAATCTGCAGGGCCGCACCTGCCCTTCATGCTGGCAGAGAGCCTGTGAGCTCCCGCAGCTAAATCCTGCATCCTCCGGGCACTTTGCCCTCTTCCCTACGTGCCTGGGTACCCTTGGGGGTCAGGGCTTCCCCTGTGGCTCAGCAGTAAACTGTCCGCTTACAATGTGGGAGACCTGGGTTCAATAACTGGCTTGGGAAGCTCCACTAGAGAAAGGGACGGCTACTCACTCCAGTATTCCTGGGCTTCCCTTGTGGCTCAGCTGGTAAAGAATCCACCTGCAATGTGGGAGACCTGGGTTGGATCCCTGGGTTGGGAAGATCCCCTGGAGAAGGGACAGGCTACCCACTCCAGTATTCTGGCCTGGAGAGTTCCATGGACTGTATAGTCCATGGGGACACGACTAAGCGACTTTGACTTCCCGACCTGCCTGGCCTCTCGGCAGCCCGGGCCCTCCCTGCTGCCTCCCCTGCCTGGCAGTGATGCTCTGGCCTTGTCTTGCGCATCCTCTCAGCACACCCTGCTGGCCTGCTGCCCCCGCGGGGTCCTGTCTTGAGCCCGTTCCCTACTCAAGCCGCTCCTGAGATTTCCCGTTCTCACCTCCTGTTCCCTACAGCCCTCCCTGGATGCCCAAAGGCCCCCCAAACCCATCAGATCTCCAAGTCACTCCTCTTCTCACCTCCTCAGTTGCCCCTGGTGGCTGTGGCTGGCACGGCCACCTCTCTACATCACCTCCTCTCATCCCAGAACCCTCAGCCCCTCCCCTCTGCCCTGCAACAATTTCTTTCCCTCCCCGCTCCCCTACCCCTCTCTTCCTTAAAGGAGGAGAGGGCCCCTGATGGCGTCTCCCAGCTCCCAAGCCTTGACCAATCTTCCCGGTCCTCCCCTGTGGCCGGTGGCTGGCAGAGTAAGCACGATGATCACGGGCAAGAATTAGGACCTTTGGCTCTGACACAGCCGAGTTAGTACTCACCACCCTCAAGACCAGGCTTCTTTTTTGCACTTTTGTTTGTTTGTTTATGTATGGCTGGGTCCGGTCTTGGTTGCTGTGTGCTGGCTCTCTCTGGCTGGGCCGAGCGGGGGCTGCCCCTCCTTGCGGTTCACGGGTTTCTCCCTGTAGTGGCTTCTCTTGCGGGGGAGCTTCAGTAGTTGTGGCCCCGGGCCTCGTCGCTCTGCAGCAGGTGGGATCTTTCTGCACCAGGGATTGAACCTGTGACCCCTGCCCTGGCAGGCGGAGTCTTAACCACTGGACCACCAGGGAGGTCCATCCTGGGACCAGACTTTTAACATGGGGCCCCCTTGAGGCCATTTGTGGCTCCTGCTCCCCTGTGCCCCAGCCAGCCAGAACCAAGAGGGCCCATTCACCCGAGCGTCCAGACTCTGTCCCTGGCTTCCCCTGCAACACTCTGCCTACCCCCTTCTCTCTCTGCCAATTCCTTCCAGCCCCATCACTGGCTCCTGGGTCTCTGTCACTTCCCCAGACCCCGGTGACCCCAGGTCCTGGCGGGGACAGGTGGGTTTTTGGGAGCTGGGATGAGGGAACCAGTCTTTCCAAATCTCTGTGCCCGCTTCCCAACAAGAGGTTTAATCCTTTAAATTCCTTAAATTCCCTTGAGGCGACAGTCAGCAGCTTTTCTGTCCTGGAAGCTATGCAGGAATCTGGCAAATGCTTAGGATGTAAAAAGGTCCCAAGTTGGCTTCTGAGCGGGACCCCTCCTGGGTACCCTGTTGCTGGCCTAGGGGGCAAGGCCAAGTTGGGGATGGGCTGAACGGCACAATGAAGGGACTTTTTTTCAAGAAGAATTTCTATCGTAGCATGGAAACATATACATTCTGCACGCGTGCGTGCTCAGTCGATTCAGTCGTGTCTGACTCTGCAATCCCATGGACTGTAGCCCACCAGGCTCCTCTGTCCATGGGATTCTCCAGGCAAGAATGCTGCAGTGTGGGGTTGCCATCCCCTCCTCTAGGGGATCTTCCCGACCCAGGAACAGATAGCCAGTGGGAAATTGCTATATGACTCAGGGAGCTCAAACCGGGGCTCTGAGACAACGAAAAGGGGTGGGATGGGGTGGGAGGTGGAGGGAGGTTCAAGACGGAGGGGACATATATATATACCCAGGGCTGATTCATGTTGATGTGTGGCAGAAGCCAACACAATATTGTAAAGCAATTATCCTTCAATTAAAAATAAATTTAAAAAATAATTTGTATCATAGGGCATCTCCCCTCTGTCTTTATTATTCTTCTTCTAATTTTTGGCCACACAGCACAGCTTATGAGATTTTTAATTTCCTAACCAGGAATCAACCAGGACCTCCGGTACTGAGAGCTCAGAATTCTAAACACTGGGTTGCCAGGGAATCCCCCGAAGGGATGTTTTCAGTTTTGCCAAATATAACAAATATTACTCACTCCTCTTTTCAATTAAAAGGAATTTGCTAGAGAAGGGGCAGAAGTGGGAGAATTAAGAGGCAGAGGAGGACGAGTAGTGGTGGGATGGTCACTGAGCTATGGTTTATTCACCAAAACGCAGCAGCTGCTTCCGCCCCTGCTCAGCACCGTCTGGGAAGGCAGACGCAGAAGCTGAGGCCGAGAGACGGCCAGTGTGGATCCAGTGACCAGGCAGCCGGAACCTCGGCTCTGCCAGCCCGAGGCTCCTGCACAGGCAGAAAAGGTGCGAGGGTGGGACGGTGTGTGTGGAGAGCAGAGACATGGCGGGGGAGCTGGCATGGAAGCACCACGCGGCCTTGAGGTGGTTGGCCCTGCTGGGATGGCGCTGGCGGAGTGTGTCACACTAGCAGAGGGAAAGGGCCAGTAGGAGGATGGATTTCTCTGAATCTGGGTGTCAGCCTCCCCAGAGACACTGGCGGCCGCCCTTCTGCTCCCTCCCCGCAAGATGCCCCACCCGGAAAACCCGGGAGAGCGTGGCACCAGCTGCTGGATGGGAAGCCGGCTTCCACATCCAAACGGGGGGACCACATCCAAACGGGGGGACCACATCCAAACGGGGGCCATCCAAACGGGTGCTTATGAGCGCACCTCGAGGCTTGCGGAACTTCCCCGACCAGGGATGGAACCCTTGCCTCCGCCCCGCCCCCGCAGAGGGAGCGGAGTCTTAAACACCGGACCGCCAGGGAAGCCCCTGGGACTTCAGATTTTCAGGTTAGCAGATGAAGCATCTGGGCTTCCCTGGAGGCTCAGTGGCGAAGAATCCACCTGCCAATGGAGGAGACACAGGGGATCCCTGATCCAGGAAGACCCCATGTGCCGAGAAGCAGCTAAGCCCATGCGCCTGCCTCCGCTACTGAGCCTGTGCTCTGAAGTCTGGGGGCCACAACTACGGAGCTCACCTGCTGCAAATACAGAAGCTTGCTCACCCTAGAGCCCATGGTCTGCAACAAGAGAAGCTGTTGCAACTAGAAGCCCACACATCCCAGCTGGAGAGTAGCCCCCCACTCACTACAACTAGAGAAAAGCCCATACAGCAACACAGACACGGTGCAGCCAAAAATAAACAAGGAATAAAAGTATATATTTATGAAAAGATGAAGATGAGGCATCTGACACAAACTAGGCATCCAGCCCTGAAAAGCAACTTCTCATTCGTAATACATCAGGATGGGGGGCGCCAAGGTGACCACCTGTGTGTACTGACCACCAGCGAGGCCAGGCGGGCTCACCAGCATCACGACCCCGAGGAAAGGGTGTGGACCTGGGACTTGGTCAATCTCTGGCTTGGAGGCCCACAGTCCCGCAGAGGCACCCAGGCCAGGCGGGCCGGAGTCACCGGGCCTGCCTGGCTCTGCCAGAACTGGGCCAGGACCTGGGCCCGTCTGCAGAGCTCCAGCTGGTGGTCTGATCCTGTGCCCATCAGGCAACATGCCGGGTTTTGCTCGGATCTCCAGAGAGGCCCACGGGCAGGAGCATTCGGTCCCACGGCTGTGGGTGGTGTCCCGGACCCTCCTTGATCGGCCTGCTTCAGTCACCACGGTCCAGCCACAAGGCTCTGCCCAGCTCGCCAGCAGTGCTCCGTGAGCCCAGGGAGCCACTCCAGGCCTCTCTGACTCAGAATGCCCAGTGTCAACCTTAAAAAAAAAAATCCAGATTTTTCGGCTTCAAAATCTGTGCACAGGACGTGGGTTCAGCAGGTTTCGGGCTGTCCCCTTGGCCCAGCCCCTGAAGTCCCCGTCGTCCTCACTTGCTGCCTTGGACGACTTGGCCTAGACCACCATTCCCACTTCTTAGTCTGTTTATTTTTTGTTGTCGCTTTTTAAAAAATATTTATTCGGCTGCACTGGGTCTTAGTTGCGGTGTGTGGCCTTAGCTGCTCCAAGGCATGTAGGATCTCAGTCCCTGAATCAGGGATTGAACCCGCATCCTCAGCACAGCCAGGTGGATTCCTAACCACTGGACCACCAGGCAAGTCCCACCCTTGATGTCCAAGGCCTCGGTTCTGGGTCCCCAGACCTCACTGTAGACCCAGGCTGGGGCACATGGGGGACCCCATTCTCCCCCTGAGGCTTCCCCAGGCTCCTCCTCCATCTGAACCGAACTCCGGGCCGGCCAGGAGGGGCCGGGGCTTGGGCTGGGGGAGGCGGAGGAGGTTGGCCCAGCCCTTCTTTCTCCCAAAACTCTCATCTTAAAGTGGGGTTCCCCTCCTTCCAGCAGGGAGGCCAGCACTCAGAAAGGGGTGGCAGTGAGTGTGGGTCTCAAGGCTGGTTCTGCACTCAGCAGGCCCTGCGTGCCCAGCCCGGGGGCTTCATTTACTCCCTCTGTCCTGGTCACTAGGGGCGGCCAGATGTCTCCTTGCTGGCCCATGCTGTGCTCAGGGCTGACAGCCGTTATCAGGACGCTTGCTCTGGTTTTCCCAACCACACGGCCCCCCAGAGACGAGACAAAGAACACGCCCACCCCAACACAGGGGCAGACTGAGGGGCCCAGGGTGGGAGGCACTGGGGACACCTCCTGCGGCTTCCTGCCAGAGGCGCCGCAGGGTCGGGAGAGCCAAGCGTGGCCGCGCTGCCATCCCGTGTATCTACCGCCTGCCCAGTGCGGGGTGGAACAAACGAGCCCGACAGCAGCCCCAACCCGGGGTGGAACGAACCAGCCGGACAGAAGCCCCAACCCGCGCAGTGCTGGGTCTGAACGGATGAGGGGCCGCCTCTCTGCCATGGTGCAAAGCTCCACCAGGCTCTGAGTGCGGGTTCCCTCCCACAGAATCTCATGAACTCTGTATGCGAGCTAACTTGCTTCAGTCGTGTCTGACTTTGCGACCCTAAGGAGCCCGCCAGGCTCCTCTGTCCACAGGATTCTCCAAGCAAGGATACTGCAGTGGGCACATGTATCAAAAATTGGCTCCATCTTGCTGTGAACGGGGCTTCCCAGGTGGCGCTAGTGGTAAAGAATCCACCTGCCAATGCAGGAGACCTGAGATGCGGGTTCAATCCCTGTTGTGGGGTGGGTGATACTGGCATTTCTTGGAGTAGGAAATGGCAACCCACTCCAGTGTTCTTGTCCGGAGAACCCCATGGACAGAGGGGCCTGGAGGGCTACAGTCCATAGTGTCAGAGTTGGACACAAATGAGACTTAGCACACACACACCACCCGGGATCCCTCTACTGTGGTGCCTGCCCGCCCCCCTCCAACCCCGGCGGGTCAGCGGCCTCTCAGAGCTCGGCTGAGAAGGGACCCTGCCTCTGAACGTGCAGACCCCACTCTGATCAGCCCGCTCCCCAAGGTGCCCGGGACCTGGCTTCCAGGCCTCATTAGAAGTTAACAGAGGGCATGAGGGACCTTGGGGAATCGGGCCTTTATTTCACTTGGTTCCCACCATGCCCATGGATGCCCCCATGGCTTCCTCTAATGAGGTCAAGAAAACTCACTCACTAATGAGGGCTTTATGTACTAACTCAAGACGGCTCGAGGGAACTCATCACTTTACCACCACACAAAGCGAGGACAATGTGGTCGGGACGCCTCAAGTCACATGTGGCCATTTACAACTAAACCAGGGACTTTCCTGGTGGTCCAGCGGTCAAGAAACCGCCTTGCAGTACCAGGGACTCCGGCTTGATCGTCCCCTGGTGGCTCAGTGGGTAAAATATCTGCCTGCAATGCAGAAGACTAAGGTTCGATCTCTGGGTTGGGAAGATTCCCTGGAGAATGAAATGGCAACCCATTCCAGCATTCTTGCCTGGAGAACCCCATGCACAGAGGAGCCTGGTGGGCTACAGTCCATGGGGTTGGAAGAGTTGGACACGACTTACTGACTAAACCACCACCACCACCAGGGAAATAAGCCTGCGCCACATTGAAAGATCCTGCGTGTCACAGCCAATACCTGACTCAGCCAAATAAATTTTTAAAAAATCAGTGATGAAAACTCTCTGCTACTTCAGCCACATGTCAGATACTCAGTGGACACTGGGGTGGGTGCATGGCTCTCTTCCTGGGCAGGGACACGGAGCATCCCACCCCCTGCCCCCCGACACCACTTAGGTCGTTCTATTGAGCAGTGAGTGGACAGAACACCAAGGCCTAACCTGGCAGAAATGCCAGCACGTGCTCAGTTGCTCAAGTCCTGTCTGACTCTTTGCGACCCCATGGACTGTAGCCCACCAGGCTCCTCTGTCCATAGAATTTTGCAGGAAAGAATCCTGGAGTAGGTTGCCATTTCCTACTCCAAGAAATGCCAGTATCACCCACCCCACAACAGGGATCTACAGTTCAACCTTGACATTTGAAATGGATGTTTGCAAACAGTCTGTTCCTCTAACCAAGGAGACCCTTTCTCCCATGGTAGAGCTTCTGGTAGCAACAGGAACCTCCAGCCCCTCAAGAACGTTACACTGTGGTTATGATCCCCAGGTGAGGGGTTCTTTTCAGGTTCAGCCCCATCCTGGCAGCCCCCATCGGTTTTATGAACTTGGACTCAAGGCTGTGGCTGGGAGGGAATGGAAGATAATCGCATGCAGTATGTGCTGACCGCCCACACTGTGAAATGGCCTTTGATATAAGCCTTTTAAGAACTTGGGAGTTTCAGTGACCCAAGCCTATAATCTATCCTTGGCCAAAACCTAAAAAAACAAAAAAACCCAATACTTTAATAAACGTTCAAAGTCGCGCACCCAGGGAGTGACTTTCTGCAGGAAGACAGCGCTGTCTATGGTCACTATGGGGACCCAGGCAGGATGGCCCTCCTCCAGGTGGAGAGCAGCCCATGGACACACTGCGTCAGGGGGGGGGATGCGAGGCCACCTACCCTGGACCACGCCTTCGGCCATTCCTGAATTATGGTCATCTTAATGTACTCGACTCCTGCCTGGAAAACCTTCATCTCTGAAGCTTCAACAGGAGGAGAAGGCAAGAACCCCCAAAACCTTGCCGTGGAGTGATAAAAGGTTCCCCGGGCCTACCTGCAGGGAGAGCTGATGGCTCCTTCAACTTCCACGTCAACTCACTGAATTATCATTTTTATAGAAAATTTTATTCAACATACAACATTTTCCAGCAAAAAGGCAATATACAGGAAGAGTTGGTGTACACTGCTGCTACAGAAACAAACAAAAAAATACTGGAAAAGGATGAAAACTAAGTGTGATCTGCTGATTCTATTTTACTGCACTCAAAACTAGACACGCGGCTGGCGTCAGCTCCAAAGGAAACGGCCGGACTGAAAGAAAACCACACACGATGAATGTCGACATCAGCGGGGGCCACTCAGTCACCCGACAAAAGCCACCACCTCCTCCCCGTGGTCAATTGTACATGTTCATTCATTAAATATACAATCTCATTTTTCCTTTTTTTTTTTGCTCTTTTTTTATTTAACTTTTTTTTTTTACTTTTTTTTATACAAAGTCAACAGCTTGCAAACACCAGTGGGCATACCCTCTTAGCTAAAAGGCCCTCCTTTGTTGGTTCCGTCTGTCCCATTTGAAGGAGACGAGTCTATTTATAATTTTTTCACCTGCTCGAATGAACTCTTGAGATCATTAGGTTTGCCCAGAGGCAGCATAGTACACCTTAATTGGATTTGAACAGTGTTTTTTTTTTTTTTTCAATTGAATAAAAAGACCCCAAAGTGTCTGGTCAAGCCTGTATTCGGTGCATCCGCTCTGCAAACGGGCTGTGGGACGCAGGGGCTGACGGAAGGGAGGCGAGTTTATTGGAAAGACCCAGGCAGCTGGGGAGACCCAGGAAGGGGCGACAGGACACCAGTGAAGGAAAGAGCGCTATTTATTAGGTTGTGAGTTTCTGTTTCGCCTTTACAGATGCACAAAAGGTCATTGAAAGTATAACTGAGGGAAAGACGTCAGACGAGCCTAACAGAAGACTTCCTAGCTGCGGGCTGGCGGCTGGGCCCCGCGGAGGGGGTCAGCCGCGCCCGCCCAGCGCCGCGCCCGCCGGCCGCTCCCCGACACGCTGACAGCGCCTGGCATCGTGGTCACCGTAAAATAACTCTCATTGGCATCCAAGCTTTATAAAAACACCTTCATTTTTCTCAAAAAGGGCAATCAATAGATACAGAGAAGCCAAACTGAACAGCCTCAACAAAATAAAATTAACACCAGCAGCAAATCCTCTTGCTGAAGACGTGGGGTGGTGCTCGTGCACCAGAGTTCTCGGCTGTTGGTAAGGGGCACACCCACCGCGGTCCGCCTCGCCCGCCCGCCCGCCAGGGAGGAAGTCAGTTATGGATTTTGATGGCCTTTTCAAGGTATGTGTAGCGACTCCTCTTCGGGGCTTTGTTGAAGTGGTCGAGCCCGAGCCACGGCCGAGGGTGAGACATGTTACCTGGTGGGGAGAGCAGACGGTCAGACCACGGAGCCAGCGCTCGGGCCCTGCGGTCAGGAGAGGCCAAGGGGCCTCCTGGGCAGCCGGGACCCCACACCGCACCAAGGTCACGGACCCCGCGCGGCACTGTCAAGAGCCCCCGCCACCCGCCTCGCCGTCGTGTGATGCCCGCCAAGGTCACCGGAGGCAGGCTGCTGTGCCTCCCTGCTCCGCAGAGGACGAGAACGAGACTCACTGCGCAGCCAGGGATGGGAGGCCTGGTCCTCGCACCCGGGGCCGCCTGCCTCCTGGACCCTGACGCCCTGCGTCTCTGCGGGAGTGCTCTTACCAGGCTGAGGTTCAAAGTCTTTCAAGTTTACTTCATACTCATCTTCGTTTATGTACTGATGTCGGCCCATCATCACAATTGCAAATTTAAACTGACAGACAAAAACCGAAAACTCCGTTATTGCAAACAGTGGGGAAACTCACACCTCTGGCAAAAAAGCAGTCAGGACTTTAGCCTTCCACCTGACAAATGACTCGCCGACATCCAAGAAGCGTGTACCTTTTCAAACTCCTTTTCCTGGATGTCCAGCAGACTCTGAATCCGCTTCATCACTTCTCTGAAATGCTCGCCCTGCGGATGACAAAGGGTGCGTGTACTCACACGGCTCATGTCCGCCTGCGCGGCCGCCCGGGCTGGAGTCCCTGGCTGAGTGGGGCTGACCCGGAGCACCTGGCTGGCCAGCAGAAGGACGCCTCACCTGGTGTATCCTCAGCAAGAACGGGATCCCAAACGTCCCAAACACCTCCTTGTGGAAATGAGCCACCGTGATGAGCATCTCGTTCTCCTTGTCGATATCTACCTGGTCCAAAGGTATTTCCTGGGGACACATGGAGTGGACAGATGTTCAGCTAAGGCCAACACAGCACTGCACGTTTTAATTCTGAATCCTTGACTTGCTCTTCCAGCAAGGAAGTGAGGGCAGATTTTTGCCACAAGGTCACCTTAGGGGCTCGTGAGAATGATGAGGATTTAAAGTCAGAAGACCTCAACCTCAAAGAAAACGCCAGGTTTTAAGAGACCAAATGATGAACTCCAGTTACTGCGGCAATCTAAGCCACTTTACAATTAACAGGGCCCAGGTTCCTGACTAGACGCGCTTGCTGATCCCCCTTTGAAATCACTTTCTAAGGGTGAACAAGAGAGGCATTGGGAGTCGGCAGGGGGGAGGCCTTGGGGGCAGATGGACAGCAGTGACCACTGTCCAACAATATGAATGCACTCATGTCACCAAATGAAGGGGACACTTCAAACAGTAGCTTTTGGGGCAAGTCTACTGTACCAACATTTAAATTTTCAAAACCTGGAAGAATTAACCCCAGGGATGGCAGCATGTTCTGGGAGTCACTGTGCTACCTGAACAAGCTGCGGCCCCCACCTCCCGTCAGGTCACAGCAACCCCGACTCCCCAGCCCCCGCCCCAGTCAGAGGACACACACCTCTATTCGAAACGTTCGACTCGTTGCAGGAGATAAACATTCTAATAGTTCATCTTCTTGATGCACACCAATAATTTTGTAGCTTACAATTTCTAGCAGCCTGTGCAAAGCAAGGAAGAAAATGAACTATACAAACTCATGGGGAAAAAAACCAACAAATGGTTTTCTACAAGGGCTTTATTACAAAGTTATGCAGATCTGCTTGTCCTTATGAAGATCTGAAGTGTCAAAAGCAGGTATCCGTGGGGAGCAGACAGAACACTGGCCGGGGGGTCCCTTCGGAAAGCGTGGTAAGGACAGTCTGAAGTGGACCCTCCGGTCAGGGCCAGGGCCGGGGAGGGGCCTGTGCAGACCTTTCCTGTAGTGGTTCCAGACTAAGCAGGGTTTGGGATATTCTTCTCACTCATTAGATAATAAAGGCCTCATTCTTCTATTAATTTTGCAAAGAAAACATTGTGGGGACCAACAGCCTGAAGGACTGTTTCATCCTCCGTGCTGCCCGGAAGACAAGGTGGCAAGAACAGCACCCAACTCTCGGAAATAAAAACTGATCATCAAATCTGGTGCTTCTTCCCTCGGCCCAAACACAAGACAAACGGAGGAGCGGCGACCCAATTTCTCAGACACAAGCAAAGCCCAAGTTTTCCCGTTTCAGCTGATCTTTCTGCTTGAGTTCACTCTTCCTCTGCTTGGCTTTTTCTGCCTGAATCTCCCTTTGCATTGCTGCTAATTAGTGTCAAGAGTCGGGGAGGGAAGACGGGCGAAAAGCTGTGAAATATTTTAGAAAACTGCTGCCAAGGACAGATAGCAAAGCTGAGTGCGGTGATGATTCGTCGGGGGGAGGGGAGTGGTGGGGTGGCGGGTGGGTAGTGACGGTGGGGTCGGGCTGGGGCTGCCCCCACCTCCACCTTTGGGAAATACTCGCCTAAGTTTCCCTGATGCTTTTTCGCCGAGCTCCACAGCCTTTTTACATTCCTCTAACAGGTCCCGGACACACCCATGCTTGTCTGGATATAGTGTTATTTCCTAAGAAATGACAAGATCACGGCTTTAGGGGAACCATGACACAAGCGGGGCCTGTGCAGTCAGCGCCGGCACCTCCCCACCGACCTTCACGCAGACCGTCTGCCCAGCCTGGACCCGCCCCGCACTGCCGTGCGTCCATCAAAGGCCATGTTGAGGCAAAAAGGTCGCGGTTCCCAAGACAGCTCCTCAGGAATTTCTCCCCTGGAACGGTCACTAAGAGCCTGTCCAGTTCTCAACACTGAGACAGAGGACAAGGCCCAGGGTGGATGCTGTCTCCTCCACCCGACCTCGGTGCACGGGTGACATCTCTGATGGCATGTGGTCCAGGCTCCTCTCCATCCGGTGGGGCCAGAGAGGTGGACAGCTAGGGTTCTGACCTTCAAGAAGAGCCACCTAACACAGGGCGGGGCGCCTGCGAGGTGCCAGAGGAGAGGCCGCCGGCCCCAAGGCCGAGCATCCAGGCCCCCGACGGTGACCACAGTCCCCGACTCTGGCACACCATCGCTCCGCTGCAGCCCCGGGGCGGGGAGGGCAGAGCTCACCCCAGCTCCCATCCAGTTCTCAGACTCTGGGGCAGGGGCTCTAATACACGCTGCGGCTTATAAGCTTTCTTTGGCTGTTTTAGTTGTCAAGGGCTTGTTTAGTCGGTTCAGTCGTGTCCAACTCTCTGTGACCCCATGGACTGTAGCCCACCAGGCTCCTCTGTCCATGGGATTCTCCAGGCAAGAAGACTGGAGTGGGCTGCCATGCCCTCCTCCAGGGGATCTTCCTGACTCAGGGATCAAAACCCACGTCTCCTGCATTGCAGGCAGATTCTTTTCCTGCTGAGCCACCAGGGAAGCCCTTTGACCCTGTTACCAGGAGTTTTTCAAGGCCTGAGAAATAATAAGCCACAATAAAAATAAAATCTCATACCACGAAAATACCTACCTCTTCCCTAAACTGGCTGTTTAACCATATACACTTAAAACTTCGCCTGTTCTCAAAGTCTGTGATTTTCATCTTAAGCTGTTAAAAAAAGAGAAAGGCATCTCAGACCCGTCCCAACAGAGGCTCAAGCCTCCTCTCTATGACCCGCGGTGCGTGAGCCTGGGCTCGTACCTGCTGGTAGTACAGTTTCTTAGGTTGTCTGGGCTTGAAGAACTGCAGCAGATCTCTTAAAGTACCTTCATAATTATGCCTAAGAGGATTACCTGGGCCATCCCTGTAACTACACAAGAAAGCAGTACATCAATGCAAGGCTTGTTTATTTGCCTAAAACAAACACCCGTGAATGAGCATCAAAGCAAACCTCTGCCCTGCCCCCTCGCCCTGACATGTGACCCCCATCCCCGAGTCCTGTCCCTGCGCCTGTTACTCGTGAACGTCTCTGCACGGTACACGGACGCCCGGCTGGGACGGGCCCAGCCAGACACATGGGAGGGGAGGCGTGTGGTCTCCAGAGTAAGGCAGGCTTTAAACGAGGCTGCCAGCTATCCTGAGCTTGCAGCAGCGTGGTCTGAAACCAGGCGAGGCGAGGCGGCCAGCGGTGGGCCACGTCAGTCAGGGGCTCCGGCTAACGGACGCGCTGCGGCGAGCAGGCGGCCAGGACCGGGCGGCGGCGTCTGCGCATGCGGCTCACCCTTGAGACTTGAAGAACTGCAGCAGCATCGGGTCGGTGTTGAGCCTCTGAGCGACCGTCTTTGCTACCTGGGGGAAGCAGAGAGTGGGGCTTCCATCCGCGGAGCAGACGGAGCCCAGCCTATGCACTCAGCGCTGACTAACTGCTCAACGTCCTTAAGCAATAGGGCATAAGCTGCTGGAGCTAAACGCCCCAGAAACTCACTATTAACAGGAATAAACTAGACTTCTTAGTATGTCTCCATGGGAACAGCATATCTGAGAAAGAAAACCTTTAAAAGCACTTTTCACTTTTAAAAGTGAAGGGGAGGTCTATAGATTTGTTTTCTTTAAACTATTATTTTAATAGCTCACACTTGGTGTATTATAACTGAAGCAAAGTTGCTGTTAAAATTATGATCTCTGAAAGCACCTTATGCCGGGGGTACAGAGGGTCTGGAGGAGGCTGTGGCCGTGGCTGGGGGCGGGGAGTCAGGGGGAAACTGCTCCTGGTCCCCGGCACCTTCAGCACCAACCAGCTGGGAGCAGGAGCTTCCTTAGACAGCGGACGGTAGCCCCTCCCCCAGAACCACATCCACCACACAGCCTCACTGGCAAGAGTTTTAACTTAAGAACCTAGTCTTCCTGGTGTGGAATCTGAAGGGAAGAGTGTTCGATCCAATACCTGGAAATAATTCATCCTATTTGACAGTGTCACCACGAATCCAGGATCGTTGGGGATCGTTTTATCACAGAAAATCACATCGACACGGTGGTAGAGGTCCCGGAAGTATTCCTTTGCAGTGGGCAATTCACTATTATCATTTTCGGGGTCATCCCTGGGGAAGGGGAGAAACACAGACGATCGAAGGACGGCCCGAGGTTCACTGCTCATTTGTTTTAAAAAGGCATCGTCTCCCACGCCACAGCGGCACTGAGTGCTGCGGATCTGAACTCAGGCCAGTGTTTCCCGAAGCTGGGAGCCTGCCTGGCCACCAGGAAAAAGGGACCGCGGACAGAAGTTGTGCCCTGAGCGGCACAGGGCAGTTGCTTTCCGCTCCTGAGCTCACTCCCGAGACAGAACGGTATCCTCTGGACAAGGGAGAGGACTCGGGGCGCACGGTGGGGCCCACCCTGCCAGCTGTGTAGGGTCTCCTCCCTGACCAGGGCTTGGTGGGCTGGCACTTCCCTTCAAAGGGAGCAGGTCACCACTAAACCTACAATCCTCACTGCCTGGCCCTTAAGGAGAAGTCTGCTGCCCCACTCTTGCCCCCATGTTTGGCGGCCTCCCCGTGGCCAGGGTCCAGGACTGTCCTACCCCGCCAGAAGGCCTCAGGAGCCCGGCTATGTCACCAGGATGCCTTCAGACCACACACCTGCTGGCTCTCATGCAGACAGACTCAAGTGATTACCCGAGTAGGTGCAGGCTAAGGAATTTCATGTTTTTAGGAAAAGACAACACTTTTGCTATTCCATAAAGACCTCTGTCCCCTGCAAAGAGTTATCATGCTCACTGTCGCCATCTTTAGAAACTAAAAGCATCCAGTGAGGAAAAAGCTCACCACCCCTGATGCCCAAACTCAAGAAGAGGCCAGCTGTGGTCAACACGCTGCCAACATCAAACAAAACGTGACTCAGGGTCTAGAGGTGATCTGTTTTCTGGTTCCAGGACTTCGGATCTTTGTGCAAAGAGAGAAAAACCCTTCAAAGGGTACGTACTTCTGAAACACTATAATGTCACCATCCATTAGCTCATCAAGGGCTTTGTCAAGAGACACATCATAGTCCTGAATTCTCTCTGTTAAATTCGGTTTAACTTCCTGCAGTGAAAGAAACAGTACGGTTATAATGCAACACTTGTCCAATGTTTAATGTGGCCACACACTGTATGTCCTTTCTCTACACCCAATTCCATTAGCTCTACATTTTTAATAATAATAATAATGGACCCCACAGAAGGGAAAGTCAGACAAGGACAGAGAGAATCCTGACTTGACACCACCCCACTTGGCTGTGGTCTTCACAATGCAAATTCAGGGGGAGCCACACAGACAAGAGCCGTCCTTCCCAAACCAACATGGACGTGAGGATTACAGAAAAATAAGGATCCAAACCTCATAGAGGATAAGGCTAGTATCCTGGATAAATCCTGCTCTGTCACACATAACCGGGAGCAAGTCACCTGGGTTCAAGAAAAATGAAGAATCCAAGGCTGCGACACGTGGCGACTTGAGCAAAACCCGCTCAGAAGGCGACCGCAGCCGGACTTACGTATTTTACAGGATATTGGTGTGTAGATATGCCCACAGTAATTCAAGCTCCGTGTTTTGGGATCGTACATCTTCAAAAATAACATCACATCATCTGCAAGGTTAACAAACAGGCTTTGCTGGGACCAGTGCAATGCTAACAAACATCCACAGTCAGCTTTAGTGACAACTGAGGCGACAGTTGGAGCACTGACAGTTACTGCGCGCCAGGAGGGTTCTTAGGGCTGAGCCCAGGACTGAAGCGTCATTTCAAGCATCAAACCCACGGAAGCGCTGCATCTGAAGCAGCGAAGACGAGAGTAAGTGCAGAAAACGTAGGAAACCTAGTTTTGAGACCAGATACTCACTAGCTACCAGGGGATACCTGTTCAGGGCTGTGTCTGTGTTTTTGCCAGACAAGTGAGCACTTGAAGCAATACAAGAGCACGCTCAGACCCACCTGTCTGCAGATAAAGCTGTGCTGCAGCAGGGTTCCCGTGCCTAACCTCTGTGGCCACCTGGCTGCTTCGATGGCAGGCAGAGGGTCACGGCCCACAAAGTGCCAAGTATTTACTGCCAGCCCTTGACAGTGGCCCTGCTCCATCCCGTCTGCCATGTGCAGAGCAGGGAACACGACCCACAGCACGTGGCTGCCACCTTCTCCTCACCCGCCAGCTACAGCCCAGTCAGTCTCACCTGACCTGACCACAGAGATGTTAACGAGCATTCTGGGGACCAGTGAGATTTCTTTGTGAGAAAATGCTTAGCCCTGTGTTTTGAACGATGGTCCAGGACTCTTAATTCCGCCCCTGGGGGTGCCAGGCTGGGCGAGGGGGGCACTTACGATCTTTATCAAACTTGGGTAGCGTGGCTCCACTAGCAGCTAGCTCCGGATCAACTGTTTCCAGGAATATCGTCCAGGGGTTTTCATTATCACTGAGCTCAATCATCTATTTCCAAGAGAGAGGCCGGGTTTAGGAGACTTAAATGGCTGAGGGTGAGAGACTCGAGTAACTGACAAGTCCAACCCCACGCCACCGGACCACAGGCGACACGGCAGGGCACGCGGCGGGCACTGCGCACGCCCAGCCTGGCCCGGCCGCGCTCACCGTCTTGCTGCCGTCGGCCTCGTTGTCCAGCATGGCCGGCCGCTTGGTGCCGTTGCTCCTCGCCTGCATGGGCCACAACCGAATCTGATCTTGCGGGAACCCCTGGAAGTATCCACAGTTCAATTAATCGAAGCACAATCACTTTGTAGTTTAACTTGGGATCAAGGTGATGGTTCTATGATTAGAAGGGGGAGTGATGCTGACCCCTCTCCCCACGGGTGTGGGCGGCGGTGCGCGGGCGGCAGGGGAGCCGCTGAGGGCAGAGCGGAAGGGAGGGAGCCCAGCAGCGCCCGGCCCACCCCGGGCTGGGGGTGCTCGCCCTCGCCCGGCGGTGGAGGAGGGGGAGGACCGCGCGCAGGGGCACGCACTCACCATGGTCTGAGAGAGGTTCTGGACAAACTCCGAAAGCGAGGAGTTTTTCAGCACTTTGAACACAGTGTATCTCACTTTTTCTTCATCATACATATCGTTCCCTTGATGGCCACAAAACTGGTCCTCTGCGACGATCTGCCAAGAGGCGTGGAAGCACAGGACAGGGTTTACACCCAAAAGGCAGAACAGAACCAGGCCACGCAGACAGAAGCCAAGGTTCCAACGCCAAGAGCAAGAGCGACTCGTCCTTTGCCTTCTTCAGAAGACCCACGCAGAGAAACCCCCAATGACCAAGCATGAAATCAGATATTCATTTATTTACAAAAGACCAAACCCTATATTTCCATGCAGCCATTCTAAACTCATCCATAAGCTTCAATTGCAAGTTCACCTGGGTGAGAAAATTCCCAATTATAAAGCCGGATGCACACGTACCTTTCAACTTGATACAACTTCCTGTTTTCTAATGGCAACTAAATCATGAACCAAAATCAGCCCTCGCCCTCCCCTGACAGCACTCTCCCGGCCTGGCCCCCTCATCGAGGCCCTGCTCACCCGCTGTTCTCCGGTCCCCTGCCTGTTTGATGAACGCTCGCACACAGCCGCCCTGTCCGGCAGCTTGAGTACCTCTCCCATCTAAGCTGCCCCCTGAACTGGAACGAATACTCCCAACGGTCAGGGGACTGGCCCGAGCGTCCCCTCGGGGCACCCGTGCTCAGGAGGGAGCCCCGGGTCTGCAGAGTGGCCACGCCGGCCGGAGGCTGACCTGCACTTGCATGTAGAGATGGGCCTCCTGCCGCTCCTTCCGCTTCTGCGCTTCAATCCTCTTCTCCTCCTGCAATCGTTCCACCAACTGCTGAGGGATGTCCTGGTCGGTGACAGCTTGTAACACCTCACCTGGGGGACAAAGGCACCTGCCTTCACCTCTGCGCGTTACGCCGGCACAAGCAAAGCCATCCTTCAGGGTAATGCCACTCTCCCCGCTCGGTCCACATGCAGACCCACGGCGCGCGCCGGCTGCTCCCAGGGGATGCCGGGATGGAGGCGGGGCAAGCCGCAGTCTGGACGGGCGGCTGCAGCTCGGGCCCGCGGCCGGGAGGGGAGCGGCCGAGCGGGGGCAGGCACCCGCACACTCACTGAGCTTAGACTCGCGGATGTAGACCAGCATGTAGGCGTTGGTGCAGTGCCGCACGGACAGGTCGTCGTCGTGGCCTCCGTAGTTGTGCTCGATGGCCTCCTCCTTCGTGCACCTGGACACCACGTCGTCGTCAAACTTACACCACTGTGACGGGAACGACAGGGGTAAGGCGCGTGGAGGCGGCGGCAGCATTCCCCTGAAACACCTCCTCTGCTGCGGGTGACCCACGGAATCCTGCCAGCGCTCTCGCCTTCCTCGTCCCAAACTCTGGGGAAACTGCTGACATCCACCCACAGGCAGTTCTTACAAGGTGCTCAGACACCAGTCCGGCTTCAGCTCAGGCTCCATCTCAGTCCACCGGGCAATAACGCCGACGGCTGCAGGTTCTGCACCTGGCCACGGGGGCCCCTCCATCAAATCCCCTCCTACGTGAGCTAGCAGGGCTCGACCTGCTGTTTCTCGCTGGGCCTGGACACAGACCCCCAGACCCTCATCTGCTCCGCCTGATGAAGGTCACGTGATGGGATCCACGTGAGCGAGGCAAAGCCAGAGCATTCATTATGCACGGCACTTGTGGGAACACGCATCGGTCGCTGCCCCACCCTCGAGGGCCACAGATGATAACTGTCAGACGGAAAGGGATCCTGTCAGGTCCCAACGTCCAATACTAAGATGTATATAAAAAGGACGATCACAACTTAAATCCACTTTGAAAGTATCAGCAGTTAACACAGATCAGAACGTGCAGACACGTCAGAGGCCAAGAAGGAATCTTTGGCTGCCAAGGCCAAGCCTGAAGCATCACTGAATTCCCACACAGCCTCCCAACCACCCGACCCCCTGACACATACTTACTTTGCCATCCCCTTTGGGGTTGAGATAAACCACATAATGTCCACCATGATTATCTCCACTGTGAACCAGGACCGCATGAAGAATGTAATTTGCAGGGTCTTTAGGATCAGTTTTTTGCAAAAATTCATCAAGTGGTAACTGTTCAGGAAATTCAAACCTATTTAAAAACAAAACAAAACATTTAACGAGAAATCTAGGTTTCACTTCTGGTGAGACACTTCACCTTAAGGTTTTATTTGCTACCAGGCCCTCTTAATTCCCTGGCCCCTTGTTCCGTGGAGAGGGCAGGGCATTTGACATGCAAGGTCCCCAGAACTCCTTCAGATGACTTGCACATCGACAAAAATCTGAGGCCTGATTTGAGAAAAATGCCTGCAGAGTACCGATACACCTATCGGAGTTTCCCCAATTCCAAGGTGTTACGACAGAACACACTGTCTTTTCTAGGAGGCGGGTGTCTCTGGGAGGACTGCGGTGGGAGGCAGAGCCGGCCCCACATTGCCGTCAGGGACCCGGGGCCGGCACCACACAACGTCCTGCCCGTCAGAGGCCAAGAAGCAGGACTTCCACGTGACAGCTCACGGCGTGAAAAAATGCCTGCAACTGATTCCAATAAAACCAGGATGAAAACAGAGGTGAGGGCCCAATGAAGCTCGGCAGGTTGGATGGGCCTGCAAGCCGCTGGTCGGCGAGCTCCACCATCTCGGGGCTCACGGTGAGGGGCAAGGACAGGCTAGCAGGCCCGGCTGCTGCAGGCGATGTGGTAGAGCCGCGCCCTCCCCCGAGTCTGGGGGTGACTGGCCAATGTCCAGGAGGCCGGTTATTGTCAGGCTGTACCCTCTGACCAAGGGGTACAAAGTCACCGCTCCAAGTTCTGTCTGCTGAACCACACGAAGCTGTGTGGGGCACCAATCTTTTACAGGTGCTTGAAGGGTCTAGAAAACACATGGAGCAGTGGGGGGAGCACACCCACCTACACCAGCACCCCTGACCAGTCTGGCACATTCTGCAAGTCAATACGAACCCAGAGATAACAAACCACTACAGATTCCTAGGTAAAGCAATAGAGGGGTATCAGGCCCCACTTCTAGGGCAAGCAGAGCCTGGGCAGCAGAAAGCACCCTCCCCGGGTGTCATCTGCCTGAGGGTGGACCAAGGGGCTCCCTGAGCAGGAGACATGGGTTTGCAGCCCCTGAAGCCATCCCTTCAAAAGGGCAGATCAGACTTCCCTGGCGGCCCAGTGGCTGGGACTCCGCACTCCTAATGCAGGGTGCACGGGTTTGTTCCCTGGTCGGGGAAGATCCCACATGCTCACAGCCTCCCAGTGCACCGCCCCCCACCCCCAGAAAAGTTCTCGGGACACCTCGGTAGGGCGGGAACCTAACAAGAGAGGAGACCAAGGACAGACAGACTTTAACACGGCAGCGAGACTAGCCCCCCGCATCAGGACGCTGGGCACATCCTACCTCTCACAGCCCTCTACATTACCTATCATTGATCTTGATGTTTTGGTCCGTCTGAGGATCATACATAAATCGCATCAGTTGCAGATGTAACACTGGTGGCAATGTCAGGAATTTCACTCCTTTTTCTGCCTCCTAAACGTTGAAGAAGAAACCAGGTTTAGTCCGCCTCCAGTTACTTCTCCCAGCCACCAAAGTGATAGCATTTCACAGCAGGATGGGAACACAGGGGGGACGTCTGCTGGGGAGACAGGTACAGGGGCCTTTAAATGCCCTACGTGGGAGATCTCCTCTCAGACTGCATCACACTATCTTATTGCCCGGGGATGGGGAATGCAACCGAGGCTCAGTCACTTACTGCCCTAGCAACACAGTCAGTAGACACTGAAATTCTGGAGAAGTGTGAGAAAATCAAACGGAAGAGAAGGGCGTGGTCGGGGCTCAGGAGAACAGCCTGTGAGCGCCGTCCTTCCCCAGGGTGGTCACTGACGACTGGCTCACTCCCACTTCTGAACACACCCCCTCTTGCTAATAGCAAGGTCCCCTGCCTGCTGGCATGGCCTCTGCCCAGCTCCCGCCTCCGCTCCACCTCAGCCTCACTAAAAAGCAGCCTTGGCCAAATCCAGCCGCCACCAGGTAATCAGGCCTTCCTTCTGAGCTGTGAACCTTACTTCCAAGACCGGTGAGGAAATGCCCACCTGGAGGAACAGGTGTCCACGAGCAGCCACACCTATGTGGCAATGTTCTCTGATGTACATTCTTGTATTCAGAGAACAGGGCAATTCTGGGAAGAAAACCAAAAACCAGGAACCTACTGCCACGCAAAGGAACAGCATGGTTTTAGTGCCACTCAGAACAACAGAAGGATCTTATTTCTTGCCCACTGTCTCCAGAAACTCTGATTCTAATATACATATTGCTCACCCAGACCCCAAAACATTCAGTGTGGATTAGGGCGGTTCTTGTGACTCGTGTTTCCTAAGCATATCCAGCAGCATGTTCCCTAAGAGACTTACTGATCTACACCCCAGCACCCCGAGTGGCCTGACCCAGCAGGACAGCAGGTCTGTGACCCACTGCAACACAGGTTCACTCGCGCACACACTGTATTAGCAAGCTTGGTAAACACAGGACAGTCTGAAACACTCAGGAATTAGCTGAGTCAGTCAGCTGAGATTACGAGGCTGGGTGGCTGGACCCACGTGGACGCTGATCCACTGAGCAGCCTGACCCGCAGCCTGCACAGGCCACAGGCCACGCCCTGTGACCGCAGACTGTGGTTGGGTCACACCCTCAGTGCTCCGCAGAGTTCCTGCAAGGCCGTGTGGCAAAGAGGCAGGGACACGAGCGCTTGTGCAACAAACAAGAGAAATGCGCTCCTCATGCTGGAAGTCAGGGTTCTCAGAAAACCAGCAAAGAAGAAAGGCAAAGCACCACTGCCATCAGCCACCAAAACGGGAGTCTCGGTGACTGAGCAGCTCTCCTTGTGCCCGGGAGACAGCAGCGTTCTGAGGAGGATGCGGTGAGGTCAGGGGCAGCGTTGGATGGAGTGGGAGGGGTAGGGAGGCGGGTGATGGTCCCGCCTCCGATCCACAGGAGGCTCGGTCACCTCCTGCCCACGGCATCCCCAACCCTGCATCAGCGACACGACCAGCTCTCTGCTGTCTCGTCCAGACTGAGAAACACGACCCTTCCACGCGCTCCACAACAGCAGCGTGTGGACAGACCCTTGGTGGGTCTCCAGCTGGCGGGAAAGCGAGGGGTCTGAACACGGAGCACAAGGGCTGGAGGGGACACCAGCCCACAGTCTCAGTTACCTGCAGGCCGTGCTCTCCGGCGTCGTATTTATTGTCACCGTCCAGCTGTTCTACCGCCACATAGTCCACAAATGATTCAAATACTTTCAGGAGAGAGAGAGAGAGAGAGCAAGGTCAGCCAAAGTTATCACTGAAGCTTCAGTTATAACATAACCAACCGCTCAATTCAGGTGCCAGAGAGGAACGAAAATATCAAGCACCGCAGCCGTGAACACGAACTCCCAGCTCTGCGCCTGCACTGACCCAGGGAGAGGTGTATACTCTTAAGCAAACTGAGGGTGCTGCTGAGTTGGCCAGAAAGTTTGTTTGGGTTTTTCGTAGTATCTTACAATATCATCTTATCTTATGATCACATGGAGTGGATGTTTGACTAATAACAACATCAGCAACACTAGAAACAGCCAAAAATGCAGCCACGTGTAACTCTCAACAGTAGAACCTAAGTGTGCTCACCCCTAAGTTTAAAACACAGATGCTGGTGAAATAATGGGCAAGTTCACTGACTAGACGGGTCAGTAATTCTCACAATATCCATGTACATCCAATCAGACGGATGCTCGTTAACCCTTTATGACTGCGTCGGTTAGACCACCGTAACGCTGGAAAGGAAGAACGCAGAATTCATCCAAGGATGGCAGCCAGTGGACCAGCAGGAGTCTAGAAACAGGCCTACACAGATACGTAGGGCTCACTGCTGACAGGGTCAGGCAGAGCACCTCGGGTCCACACTGGCCCCAGGGAGAAAGGAACTGCTCTGGGTGGGTTGGAGATCGACAGAAAAGATAGAAGAATTGTCTGATGACTTCAGGGACGGCACGAAAAGCAAAGAGCAAAACACTGGATTTCACAATTACGAAATCCTGTTAAACGGCTAGATAGCAAGAGCAAACAAAGTGAGCCCCAGATGCAGGAAGAGCCCCAAAACCCAGCCCAGCGTCCAGAGCCCACGAGGACCCAGCGGCACGGGTTGCCGCCCCGCCCCGCCTGGACTGGTCTTTACCACACGGGCAACCACCACCTTCACACACTGGGTGATGGCAGTGCGGGACCCCCACGAGCCCGCCAAGGCCCGGCTCACCGCCTGGACCTTCCAGGCGGCAGCGCTGGGGAGGGAAACCCCAGAATCTGAGAGAGTGTGGGGATTACAGGGGCCCCAGGCAGCTGGCCTCTGAAGGATGGAGGGCTCTGGAGAGCCGAGGCTTCTCTGAGACCCTTGCTGAGCACTGACCAGGGAGGGACAGTCCCCACAGCTCACCCTGGCCTGGAACAGCCCTGTTCCCTGCAGCCACGGTGAGAAAGCCCCACAGGGACGGGACCTTGGGCAGAAAACCTGCCAGATGCTGCCTCGGCTGTGGGGACAATTGAACACCACGGGTGCAGCAAGAGACCACACTTAAATAGGCCTCGAAAGCATCAACTATCTCCATACAACTGAAATGTGCCCCAGAACAGAGGTGAAGAGCAGCCAACACCTGACAAAATAAAAATCATGACAGCTGGCATCTGATGAAAGATGACTGGACAGGCAATGGGGCTGGAACTCACAGCCCGTGATGAAAGACAAATTGACGGAGACAGATCCACCAGAAATCACAGGATTAGCAGACGTGGACATCAAGTAACCGTGAACTACATTCCGCACGTTCCGGAAGATATCCAAATCACCAAGGAGCTTTTGACAAGGTGAACTCTCCCTTACTTCCAGGCAAATGCAAATCAAACCCAAGACAGCACCATCTTCCACCATCCTGATGACTAACTGCTCTGGAGTAGACGTGGAACAAGGGCTCGCAGTTTGCTGGGGAGTGGCAGGGATAAATGGCTGCATCTGCTAAGCTCGAAAAGAATGGTTTCCAAAGACCTGTGTTATATCCCCAGAGTGGAATACTACACAGCAATGAAAATGATCAGATAACTGCTGCCACAAGTGTATGGAGGGAACATTGAGAAAAAGCAAATCGAGAATTAGAAGACTATCTTCTACGTGCTCCCGTCCTTGTAAAAATAATCCAGCAAAGGATGTTAGAAGCCCAAAGCTTCCCAGGAGGAGAGATGGGCAATGACAGCAAAGGGCCAACGTCTTACTTAATCAGCAAACGTTTAAGTTTCTTGACCTGAGTGGGGTTACCTGCATGTGTTCACAAGGTACGTTCATCATTTGGGCCATTTTCTCTATAGTGTATTTCAGTAGAAACTGCATGATCAATGAAGCATTATAACGAACCATGAAAAGGCCGTGCTCTATGCACACAGAACTCACTGTTTTTCTTCCCTTTTATGCTTAGCTGGATGTCGTAATAATCTTCTCTTCTATCGGACCGGTAGTCTACCTCTTTACACTGGATGTAAGACTGCAAGCAAGGAAAATAAGGTGGCTTAGGCACTCAGCGTCAGAACACGAGCGCTGAAAAGTTTCTACAAGTCATTCTTCAGGACTGGTAATCACATACCACCATCTTGCCTCTGAATAATTTAGGTATGGTGCCTTCTACACACGTGCCTTTCATCTTGTTTTCCACATTATCAAGCAACTGGAAGAGAAAGTTTTGGCTTTCAGAAAATGTTACGCATTATGCAGTCATTTGAAACATGACTAGGAAATTTCAATGGTCAAAAAAATTCTAGACTATAAATATTATGACCTTTAGCATGCAATTATCAAAAACATACAAAATCTTCTTTCTTGGTTGGATATTTACAAAAATAACTACATGCAACAGTTGAGATTAACCCTCTATACAGCCTTTGGAATGAATTAGTAATTTGTAGTGCCTTTAGAAGCATTTTTTTATATTCATTTTTACCTCTGTGGAAAAGCATGTAAATTGAGCACTAAACTTAACTCGTATTGGTCCACACCAAGAGATTAATGAGGTTGAGCCTGTCAACAGGATTGACTGGTTTGTCCATGGATATTTAATGAACTGGATTCAATCCAGCTAGTGCTGCAAAAAAGAAAACACACCTTGCCCAGCCAATCACCTTGAATTGCCATTTCACGTGTGTGTGTATGTGTGTGAGTGTCTTACATCACGACTGGAAGAGTGGGTACCTGCTAGTGACTAGAGGCGGTTTGGGGGAGAGTCACCCACACAGAGGTCTGCCTCAACCAGGACTTGTTTCTTGGGTTACTAACTGGTAGATTACGCCAATTTAACACATTAACAGTCCACTGCCTATACTGTTTCCCCTCATACTTTCCTACCAAATCACTTTTCAGTCTTTCTGGCCTTTAAATGATATGTGCCATCTTTTCTTTCTAGCATAGTCCTGGTCCTGAACAAAGATGGGCATAACTGGAATTACAGTGACTAAAGTAGGTGTGAGGTTTTGTTTGGTAACAACTTCTGACAGTGCTTCGAAATATGAAATGTAAGAGGAAAAAAATTACGAGAGGAAACTCACCACTCGACAGAGCTCTTGAACATCGTGTTGCATGAAGCTATCTAACGTTTCCCACCTTAGAAAGATAAAATGAATGTACATTGAAACTTCTAAATTTCACACGAGAGTAAGTTAAGAAACTAAACCATATCACCAGTCATCATTCTTAAACTAATTTAGAGGATTATTTTGGGGGGTTATAATTCAAAGCCAAGCTGAATTTTATCTCAACACCAAAATGCTCACAACTTTCTCCTGTTCTGAAAGTCTTACTGCATGGGGAGGTCATGTTTGCAAGTAAACGCACAGAAGCTTGAAGACCGTACCTATCCTTTTCCTGACAGGTAAACCTAAGTGGTGCATTAGTTCTCAAACAAAATTCTAAAAGCCTCCATTGACAAAGAGGTCAAACAAAGAACACTGGTAAGATGCGCTGATGCGACTGCCGATGCGCGCCTGTGCTCCGCTCTCAAGCCCTCTGCATCCTCTAGCGGGAGAGGTCTCCCCACACGCACCCGAATGACTTGGTCAGCTTCTTTGTTCCTACGGGCTTATCGCTGTGCTGTAACTCGTAGAACACTCTCTGCAACGCTAAAGGGACACTTTTGGATGAATCGTCGCCCTCTGTTGGCATCATGTACACAGCCTAAAGAGAAGCAATTCAGAAGTAAAAATGGAATCTTACGTCAAAGTATCATTTCTAACACCCCAATGACTAAGGTAGATGGGTAGGGCTTCTCACTATCCCCCCAAATAGCCAGAATATTCTTTGGACAATCATGGACATCTTTAGAGACAATCTAGAAGTTAAAAGAAACTGCAAAAAGAATTTTAAAGATTACTCATAGCTTACCATCCAATGAGAATCACTTCTATTTCATACTTCTTAGTGCAACATTTTTAACTTGACATGTGAACATAAAAGTTGATGAAACCTTCAATGCTACTGAAATTATCCACACTCAGCTAGCCTCTAATCTAATCCTATCAAGGTAATTAATGCTTCCTGTCAGACTAGTGTGATGCAAATAGTAAGTGACAGCAGACCCGGCAATGGGTCTGTGCTATTCTCACGACTTTTCTAAAGTACAAATAACTATCCTGTTAGATTTTACGTTTTATCTATAAAAAGTGAAAAATCAGATTCCTGGCCAGTAGTCTTTCAACTCATCAACTTCCATATAAAAGTTTTCATATCTTGCTACTACTGACTTTCATATTTAAAAAAAAAAAGATTGATTATTTCTTGCCCAATAAAGTTGGGTTTGCTGGCTGTACTAAGCTTTTCATCATGCCACTTGGCTTCACAAGTATCTGGACAATGAAGAATGAAGCTACGTGTAACCGTGAGGCAGGGCCCTCCCTGGAGACAAGCCTGAGGCCGGGCTGTTCTTGCCCCAGAATCCTGCAGAGAGAAGGCAGGCTGGGGAAGGTTGAGGGGGAGAAACACCATCCATTTACCTTGCGTAGCTGGTTTGTGAAAAATAAAGTCTGCAGCAGGCTGTTCATGTAGCAAGTCGCTCCCTGATTCTTTAAGCCGACGTAGCCCGTGTGCTTCTTTGAGTCCCACCTGTGAGACCAGTTTGAGGTTCAGGGAAGGCTGCGCCCCCACACTTCTGCCATGTGTGTGGGCAGCGTGGCTGGGGCTGGCTGCTCTGTGCAACCACCTCCGCCCCACTCCTGACACGGGGTGATGTACGAGCACCCGCCTCCAAGCAAATTAACTCGTCGCCAAGCCAGGAGTCCTGCTCACCCGGCTCCCTCCAGTATCACATGTGTGGTCCACTCAAGTGCGGGGACTAGTGGGAACTTGGTCTGACTGGAGCGGCTGCATGGCCATCGTGTACCCAGAGCAGCGCTCCCACATACGAGCTCAAGTCTACTGCTATCAGACTGGCTCCCTCGTAACACACACGTACAGTCGGTGCAAGGTGGGGACCACCGAAACCCTCTTTTCCGTAGTGTCACATATGTGGGCGAGGACGGGCATGCCGACAGGGCCAGACCTCAACTCCCGGAGCCTCTTCTCTTGAGTACGCTGTATCGCTGGCTGCTTAGGACAGTGAGCAGTCTGCAGCACCCCCACAACCCCCCGCAGTAACATGAAGCAGAGGAGCCCTCCCTCTCTGCACACGTTATGTGAACACGTGGCCAAAGCTAGATGTTTTCTGTAAGGTCTGCGTCGGCAAAGACTCTGACGCTGCAGGTATTAGGTTTTCTTGAGTAAGACAGTTTTGACTGCTAAGTCTGAAAAACCCAATTTGCTTTGTTTTATTAAAAGACGTATCATAAGTATAGGGGAATACGTTTTTAAAACGAGGGCAAAAAAAAAAAAACCCCACAAAAAACTTAACTAGAAATACCACCTTGTTGCCCACCCTTGACCCCGGATATCTGAATATGATTCAAGTGTACAGTTCAAGCATGTGTTTCAAAAAGGAGAGTCTGATTTCTCTGCAAGTAGCCCAATTAATATGAAAATCACCAGATCTCATTTGTTTTTTAAAACTCCTGGTGCCACCAGGCCCCCCAGGTCAGCCTACATGCTCCTGCCAGAGGAGGGCCACACGGGGAGACCACGTGTGAGCGGACAGGGTAGCTGCACCTGCCTCGCTCTGAGACCGCACTGCGCTTCTTCAGTCCTGGCCTGGGGACACCCGTCCAGCTCCAACCTGATCCCAGCGCGCCAGCTCGGCCTCTGCAGCCCCGGCACACTCCCCCGATGCCCCGCCCATCCCTCTCCCCTCCCAATGATCAAGGGCCCAAAGCTATATGTTCCTCAAGGCCAAAACCCTGCTTCTGCCCACAGCCCTCCCAGACCCAGGACAGGAGCCCACCCTCCCAGCTCCTCACCACCACACGCGTCATGGAGCTGCCCATCCCTCCAACAAAATGACAAGCGCATGTGCTGCCAGAGTCACTGTTATTAACTCCTCTGCCTGACCAGTCCCAAAGTTCTTTGAGGATGTAAAACTGTGGCTGCCTCGTTCACCACAGTTACAGTCCTAGAGCCCAGCAGTGTGTCGGGCTCATAGAACTGTGTTACTCGCTCAGTCATGAACGACTCTGTGAACCCATGGACTGTACCCCACCTGATTCCTCTGTCCGTGGGATTCTCCAGAAAAGGATACTGGAGTGGGTTGCCATGCCCTCCTCCAGGGGAGCTTCCTGACCCAGGGATCGAACCCAGATCTCCTGTTATAGGTGTATTCTTTACCATCTGAGCCACCAGGAAAGCCCAGGTTCATAGAAACTGCTCGATAAATGTGCCAAAGGCACCACTGTGTGCACGGGCCAAGCACCAGTGGGTGCGTCTCTGCTGCCACGGGAACCTTGGCTCGCTCCTCTCACCACCGCACCCAATCAAAGGAAAACTTACGCAACTCCATGGGGGGCATCCGCCTGCACAAAGACTTCAAACGTAACTTTGTCATCATCAATAAATCCTTTCTCAGGATCAGTCACTTCCTATTAAAAAAAAAAAAGAATATCCTACTTGCATGAGAACACATGAATACTCGATTCATTTCAAACAATTACCCTGGTGCCCTATACTTGACAGATTAAAATACTACTTTTTCAAAACACTGAAGTTGTGCTTTCTAGTTTTGCAGCACTCTGGCCTGTTTTCAACAATGCTGTCCTCTGAATGAAATCAGCCAAAGTCTGGATGCCTCCTGGAGAAGTGGGGGGAGACCACATCTCAGACCCAAGACCTCCATGTCCACTTAGCAGGCAAGGTCCAGGGAGGCCACCGAGAACACTCTAGAGCTGAGCAGAGCGTTCCTACGTCCTACTGGCTTCTTCTCCTGCAAAAACAGCCCCAAAGCGCTGACGTAAGAATTCACTGGTTACTGGAATCTCCCCACAGCGTGCCTGCCTCCGTATTATTTTTCTTAAAGGAAATCTAGCCTATCCAAAAAGCGACAGACTACCTTACAACATCTGATCAAAACACTGGCTGCCGAAAACCTCGGCAAGGAATCGGAAAAAACCCCATTTTCAGTTACCTATCCAACTCGCAGAGCAAATGTTTCTGATTCCGAAATGAACGGACAGAAGAGCTGAAGAATTAAGAATCAGGGAAGGAGCGAGGCTCGGGTGATTCAGTCCGAGCAGCTGCTACTTACACTCCAGGCCATGAAATTGGAAAAGCCCCAGTCGTTCTCCTTGTGGAAGAACAAGTGGCTGATGCGCCGGCTGAAGGATTTCTCGTCGTCTCTGTAGTTGATGATCTTCAGCACCGCCTGCGCATGGCAGGACCAGGACCTGTGCGAGGAGGGCGACCCGAGCCTCAGTCCACAGCCTGGCCCACACCGACCCCGCTTTAAGAGCACACAGAACTGCCCCATCACTTCCTTCTATGTTTTTTAGATGGAATCAAGGGCACACATGTCGATCTTTAATGAAGAGAGAAGTGAAGAGGGTCCCGGGGTGCCCCTGTGTAGTCTGGAGGGATTTCAGTCTACGTTTTATGTCTTTTTGATTTCTAAAATGTTTCAAGTTTTTTATTGATATCTATAAAACACAAGCGTCTGACCTTCAAATAGTGTCCTGAGATTTAACAAGAGACGATAGCTTTTTGGTCAGGTAGTAGTTCTAGTATCAAATGTGGTGGGACTGCTTGAAAAGCACTGAGGAATGATGATAAAGCTGCTTGGTTGTTAGATACCAGACCGAAAGCTCCAGTTCTACAGGTGTCGCTCCTGCCCCTCCCCCCGGGGCTGCCAGGCTCCCGGGTCGGGCTGCCCAGGGGGCTCCGAGAAGGACCCCGCCACCTGGGAACAATTACAAGTGCAGACGTCCGGGACAGACTGCACGTTGAATGCTTGGGGCCCAATTTAGAGCTCACAGAAGGACTGCTTCAAACGACCTCTGACATGACCGCAGACTCATGAGCACAGGGGCGGCGGCGGCTGCCCGTTCGGGCCCCCTGTGCGGGCTGCGCCCGAGCCACCTGCTGTTCAGGCTTAGGCCGTCTGCCGGACTAAACAAACCCAGCCCAAAGGCTCATCTGATCAGGTCAGGTCGTAATATGAACTGAACAGAGAAGTAAAAACACAGCCGAGGCCCTGACTGCTCCTGAAAACTGGCTTCTGAAACACTCAGGTAAAGAGGAAAAATGAAAGGAGCTGGGTCCCCTGAAGCCTTGGCCGACCACTGGAGCCAGTTCGGGAACACCTGCATCGAGGTGCCCAAGGGCCATGATCTGGGGGCGGCAGGGAGACATGGGCCAGGGAGGCGCCGTCTCCTGGGCTGGTCAATGTGGAATGAGGCGAGGAGGCAGAGGGAGCTGGGACCCCCCAAACAATCGCTCGGCTGTGCTGCTGGGAAACACCGGGCAGCAGGAGTTGGGTCTTTAACTTTCCGAATGACGCACAGAATCAATTAACATACAGTGCGGATGTCTGCCTGGAGAGTTTCCCTTAACTGTCGTCTTCCCCTCTGGCAGTTATTGGCAGAATAAGACTCAGGATAGTCCAGAGAGGCCCTAATTCCATGCTCCACGGGCAGGTAGGTTCTCACACACACGAAGTTTAGTATTTTATTTGCAGGAAAAATATACACCTTTTCTAGTTTGCAGATAATACCTACCAGTGAGGTTTTAAAGAGGGAAATGTATTGAATCTAATTGAAAATCAAATTGCTATGTAGAGGCAGCAAGGAAATTCACAGAGAAATCCAAAATTCAAAGAGGCCAATCTGGCTTATAACTAATTGTGGATTTGTAATTGCATCATTTAAACTGTCTTACGTGGAATCAGATTCAGCATTGCACTGGAGAAAGAATCCTACGCTTTTTTGGTGTGGTCTGTCTGGATAAAAGCGTGGCATCACCATAATCTTCCACGGCAGATTTCGCACAAAACACGGAGGGCTAAGGACCGACTCACTCAGTCTGCTGAAGCGCTCGACAGTGAACTGAAAGGTTGCCTCGGAGCGCCAACTCGTGTCTGCAAGAGAACACTTTGTCAATCATAGGGCCCCGGGACCGTCAGACAACACTGAAAGCAGGACAAACCTGGGATAAACATTCTCTACAACGGCAATTCAACCGCTTAAGCCTAACCCTCTGGGGAAAGGAGAGCATCATCTCCAATTTAGTAGCAATCTAAACTGTGAGATGACATACAGTTTGTGTGAACGAAACCCCAGACTCAAGAGGGCCAGCAACACACACCTGCCTTCCCACCAAACTGGCTCAGTGCGATTAAGAACGTCTACTCTGCTCTGTCTTAATCCCCAAGTAATCCGCAGTGAGTGGGAAGGCTGGAGGAAAGGAATAAACTTCTCCTGTCACATCTGTTCAAGGACGGGGCTTCAGGAGGGAAAGAAAAGGGCTTGAGACCGGGGCTGAGTGTAGAGAAGAGACACGGATTTGCAGGCAAACAGGGCCTTCCGAGGAGTGGGGACAGCCATTCCTGGCAAGTGCAGCACTGCTTAGAGATAAGACTGTTCCTGAGAAGTTAGCTAAAAATAAACGTTAACTTCATCAGTTCACTATTTTGGTGAAATCGCCCTAGATTCTCTAAGGGGAAATATTTGGGGGGAAAAAAAAAGAATGAAGAAACTGGTATTCCTTTGGACATGAACAGAATGAACTGTTAAATTCACTCAGCAAGACCAAAGGCCAACTTAAGGAATCAAGGTTTCCCCCAATAAAAAGCAAAGCATTGATAAGAATTAAACTAAAAAGTCACATTTTGAATTCTAGCCTTTTCTGCTGGTGACTACTCATTTCAAGAGACCCCAGGCAGTGATAATTAGCACCAACAACCCATCAGCGTTCTCCAGCTGTCCAACCCTCCCAAAAAAACCTGTTACCGGCCAGCACATAAGAAAACTGCAGCGGGGAGGACAAACTGCTACACAGCTTTCCAGGCACTTCCTGCTCTTCATGAGCCTGTCCCGTGGCAGGAGGGGACAGCTCACAGGCGCAGGGGCCGAGGGCCACATGTGACCTAGAGTAACAGGGGGGCCTTTTCTGGCTGAGCAACAGGGGCTGTTTAGTCATCCCCGAGCCCCGGCACAAGTGGGGTTCCCAGGCCTAGGAAGAGGGTGCCGAGAACACACCCAGGCCCTCCACGCTTCACTTCTCTGCACACAGAACTGCCTCCACTGTGGCTGAGTTTGTTCTTAAGAAAACATGTCCATCAGTCCTCATGAGAGGGTAGTATTCTTTACCAAAGAAAGAAAACCCCACAGGATGTGCTAACAGCGCTTTGCCCTCCGTTCAGAGGCTCTGTCCCCACTTGTTTGACTACCCGTAGCCCAGCTCTTGGCAGAGGCCCTCAAAGGAAGAGCAGCTGCACGGCGTGTGATGCATTTGCGCCTCTGCAGGGGTCACCCTCATCCCTTCCCAAGAGAAGATAAGAGTCCACAGAAAAGGCAAGACGCCTGTTGCAGAGAATGCGGTCCAGAGTGCTGGGGAAAGAGGCGGGCCGCTCCTCCACAGCCACACACATCATATTTGAGCAGCGTCCAAACCCCGCAGCCAGGCAAAGGCAGGTGTGACTCAGCTCCCAAGTCACAGGTGGGGACACCGAGGCTTGCCGAGGTCAAGCGGCTTGTCTCATCCAAGGTGGCACAGGGGGTCTTAGGACCCAAGATCTGTGTACACTAAACACAGTGACCAATGCCATCTTAAGAGTTTAGGGGACCAAACCCAGAGCCTGATTAAACCAGCCGCTATCCGGTGATGACAGGACACGTTCCAGGGACCTAAAGACATGATGTCACAAGCCCCCACCTACGCGACTTTTAGTTACCATTCAGATTTGTGTAGGATGAGTTTTATACAGACCAAAAAAAATGCCTTTTTGCTCCTCCTCCCCACACTTTAGTCAAAATCCTCAATTAATCTTAAACAGGACCACACAAGCCTGGCATGGGTCCGGGAGAGGGCCAGCCCTCCAGGGCTCCCACGATGCCACCCAGGCCTACCTCCTCCCCTCCCCTCCCCTCCCCTCCCCTCCTCTCCCCAACGCAGTTCACACTCCAGAATCACACACCAGATGTGAGATGCTGCCTCCCGCCCAAGGCACAGGATTATCTTCCAAAATATGCTAATCAGGAGGTCTGATGTGAGATCTCATGTGAATAAAAATGTCACCACGCCCTGTCTTCGAGCCCGTAGCATTGGTGGCACGGCTGCCTGCCGAGCTCTTCCCTAATGGAGCAGCTGAGAACCTGCATTAAGTACCAGCAGGTCCAGACAGGCAGGGGCGCAGGACAGCAGCAGACAGGAAGCCCCTCTCTCTCTGGCGGACAGGGTTGGCCTGGCGACCATTCTCTGAGGAGCTGGGGGAGAAAATGGATGGAAGGTACCCAGGATTCCACGGACTATTTATGCAGCTTTCTCTAACTGCAATTGCTTCAAAATGAAACCCTTTTGGGTAAAAGTGGTACACTTGGGATTAGCGAAGGCCACCTCCTACCCTGCTGGGTTACTGCCTCACCCAAATAGACTCTGACCTGCCCGAGCACCATGGGACACTGACCGACCCACGCCAGTGTCTGGTCGTAAATGGAAGGACGGCGACCTGGTGCCGCCTGCTGCCCTCACACATCCTGGCAGAAAACCTGGTGCCCCAAAAAGCAGGCCTGAGCTTCCCCCAAAGGGCACTCTGGCAGAAGCTGTATCAAACCTCAATTATTCATTCTAATACAAGTCTTTGCACATCCCAGTTAATCCCCAAGAAAAAAAACCAAAACAACTATTGCTTCACGGGCACCAACCGCCTAGATCTACAACAGTCACTCTACTCCAACTGGACATTTCTCCCACCCCTGCTGCCCGCCACTCAACTGCCGTGCAAGAGCCTCCCTCGCCACGAAGGCTTCTCGGTATGGACTGAGGATCCCAACCCACGGTTCCCCACGCCGTGTGCCCTCCCTACGTTGCGATGCCAAAGGAGACTCAGGGAAAAGAGGTTCTAGCGTTTCAGAGGCTTGGGGAATCATCAACAACAACAAAAAGGGCTTTCGGAGAAAGATGTTAGGAGGCTAACAGCTCAGAAGTACTCACTAAAGAGACAAACTTAATCCAGCACTCCTCTTTCTGCAGATTTCTGAACAATTTTCACACGCACATATTCTGCCATTATTGGTTCAAAATAACTATCACCATGGCCCCCCGCCCCACAGACACCGTCTTTTCACACTCCTGCCCCTGGGCCTTTCAGAAGACCAGGAACAAAGGGTATTGAAGACCACTGCTACTTTGTCCCGTAAAGTGCTTTTTCCAGCTGATAATTCGCAGTAGGACCATTTCTGCTTCTAGGTTCCATAACACCATCATTGCCTACTAATAATTTAGTACAATTGGCCTCAAAAGGTGATCTCCTTACACTGGTTCTCAGGTGAGGCAATCTGGGGCCCCCGGGAGACTTCTAGCCACTCTGACAGACATTTGGAGCTGTCACGACTCAGGGCGGAGAGGAGGGGATAACAAAGCATACTAAAAAGTACAGGACGGCCCTTTCTGACCAAGAAGGATCCACCAAAAGGCCTCGGAAGCCTGCTCCTGGGTCCACATCTGAGCCTCCTCCCGAGCCCCCCCACCCAAGAACACCAGGGGCGATGCCAGGACAAGCCTGTGCTGTGGGACCAGCTGGGGCGGCTCCCTGCTCTGGGAGAGGCTACCCTCAACCCCTGCCTCGGGCCTGCCCCGCGGCGCTCTCTGAACCACTGCTGGCGTCTCCGGGGTCTGCGATGGAACCAAAGGGCCCCCGCATCCGGGGGCCACCCCACACCATCGCCCTCTGTCTGCGGTGGAAAGCGCACTCCACAGGTAACAAAGCAGCGGGTCAGACCACGCCTCTTTACCTTCCTCAGATATGGCCTCAGCCCGCTGCCAGGGGTAAAGCGCACTGTGAGAGAACTCTCAACTACGGCTGCAGTTTCTCATGGAGGCTGAGCTTTTGGCAGGAGGTCTGAACAGCAGTCCTTCTGGTGGTGCAGCCCGTGACTGACGGTTTCTTTCAACTGCCCCGTTACACCCCTGGGAAGGACACAACCCTCATGAGGATTGATGGACACGCTTTTGACAGAACATGGTTTCATATTACACTGCAAGACTCCTGGGGGCTGCATAAAGTGACTATTGGCTGCTACCTTCTCGTGGGGTCGACCTGGCAAACACACAGGTCACACCCGTCTGATAAGGCATAATGAAAAAATAGCCTCGAGAGAAAGTGCTTCCCTAGGCCCAAAATGCCCATGCATGTACAAATGTGTATACTTTGCGCAGAGAAGATAAAAGACCAAAAGTCAGTCTGGGGGATGAAGCCCAAAGCTCGATTCTGGTTTCGAACCTAACCGGAGGGGGGAGGGGTGATCAGCTACAGACAACTGATAGACTTGCTACAATAGGAATGCAATGGGAAGCCACGTTCCAGTGTCTAGAAGTATCGTGCTGCAGACGAAAAGGAAAGGACAGTAAGGTACTTGTTCTGAATACTAGGAGTGGCTGGAAAATTAACTGCAGGCCTGACCAAATACCCATCAATTATAGACTTCTGTATTTCAACCTTCTCGGCTAGGCTGGGGAGAATCAACTTACCTTGAAATTTGCAGGCAATCGTGGAATTCAAAACCAAACCAGGCTCCTAAATTTTGCTCAGATACAACCTCCTGAAAACTAGCTACTCTCAAAGAAACTCAGCAGTCCTCAGGAAGAAGTGCCTGCTTCCGACAGCTTTCTGCCCGACACCAGGAGGCGAAGGCCGGGTACTCACCGTCCTCCATGTCCTCCTCCGTGTTACTGTGCCCGTCACTCATGGCCACATTCCCGTTGATAACAGGGTTTTGGGTAATTCTCGGTGGGTCATCTGTATCTCCAGCTTTAAAGGAAGCAAAGAAATCCCATGAGTTTTACCTTCCTGGCTTGGATCAAGTAAACAAAAACATATCTGTACTTTGGACGACTTCCAGTCACCAGTAAGTTCCAACCGTGCCAAATAATTGCACTCTAACCCAAAAGTACGGGTATGTTTACTCATATGTTCGCTAAACAAACTTTTGTTCCTTTCAAAATGCTAAGTGGGATCTGAACACACAATAATCTGCTGAATTTGCAATGAAATTTATTTTGAAAAAGGTTTCTACTCATTAAAACTCAATCCTAGAGAAAATATTGTTTGGGGGGGTTACTAAAACAGTGTATGTTAGAATCTTCCATCATGGACACACATGCCTTGAAACAGCAAGCTCATTTTCAAACTGTTACTGGACACTTCAATTACATAATTATATAAAGTATGAATCCATACCAAAGAACAGAAATGGCATTTTGGGGTGTGGGGAATTTGAAAAGGGGGTCCCTAGGAGGATGGGAATGGACAAAGATCCAAGAAAGGATCTCGAGACTAGCAAAATGCTTAATGAAGGCTGGTCTGGAAAACATTTATATAAAATCAGAAGCGAGGATTTAAAACTTTTAACCAAGGACTGGCAAATATGAAGTGTAAACTCCAACTGTAACATTCCCATCCCTCTTCAGTCATTGAGTACAATCTTCTTCGAGACATAGGGCCATGGTTTAAGAGAAAAAAAATTTAAACTTCTGGCAGGACTTAGGATTTAAACAGCCTCTACTGGTCAAAATGGCCATACTTCACATTTAAATCCTGTCCTGGCATATAGAACAGTTTACTGCAACTAATGATGTTCTGTGTTTCCTTGTATGGTCAGCTTTCCCTGGCAATTCAGACACTCCAATAGAAATTAAGAATATCGGCCACAAGCAGGAGATGTGGTTTTTAAAGTAGCTACATAGCTGTGTCCTTGGACTCCAGTATTTCAGAGCCTTTATACCACTCCAACAAGCAGTGGGTCTGATTCAGCACCACGGACAGCACCTTTCCCCTCTAGGCAAGTTCCAACCCCCAATTGTCAGGCTACATTTCTCAAATAATTCCTAAATAAACTGCCTTTTTTTCTTAAGCATCTCAAAACACACCTTAGAGTTTCTTGGAAGCCAAGAAAACAGGTATTACCACCCAAATTTAGACCACTGCCAATCTTGATGTTTTTGTTCTATTAAATATCAATAAACCAGTGAATCTGCTCAGTCATGTCCAGCTCTTTGCAACCCCATGGACTGGAGCCCACCAGGCTCCTTCATCCACAGAATTTTCCAGGCAAGAATACTGGAGTGGGTTGCCAAGAAGGATCTCCAGGGGATCTTTCTGACCCAAGGATCAAACCCAGGTCTTCTGCATTACAGGCAGATGCTTTACCGTCTAAGCCACCAGGGAAGGCCAAAGTGAAAGTCGCTCAGTCATGTCTGACTCTTTGCGACCCATGTATATTCCATGGAATTCTCCAAGCCAGAATACTGGAGTGGGTAGCCTTTCCCTTCCCCAGGAGATCTTCCTAACCCAGGGATCAAACCCAGGTCTCCCACATTGCAGGCAGACTCTTTACCAGCTGAGCCACTAAATATCAATATATACATTTAATTAACTTTTTGTCAGGGTGTCAATAAAAGCTGTTTATGAAAACACAGTTTTTAAACTGGCTCCCTCAAGCATGACACCCTGACAAAAAACTGGGGAAAGAAGTCAGGAAAGCAGAAGCTCCTTTCCCGGCTGCTTATCTAGCTTGGGGCACATATGCTAAGAAAGCACAGACTGAAATTTCACATTTACCCTCCTAGATTAATCAACCGTCAGAAATACTTTGAGGAAAAATTCTACAAAGGCCTATGAAATAAACAGCACACTCCACCAACGGAGTATTATACAGCAGGTTTTAAAAAGATTCTCAGGGAATTCCCTGGCAGCCCAGTGGTTAGCACTCACACTTTCACTGCCCAGGGCCCAGGTTCAATCCCTGATCGGGGAACTAAAGTTTCTCAGTGTACCTGTATGAGGTTCTGAGTTAACAGTATTGACTTTTTAAAAATGAAGATGCCATATCTATCATCATAGCTATAAAAGAGATAAGAGTTTTGTGGGAGTAAGACTATATAAATTCTTATTGCCAAACATGGACTAGAACACAAACTAGTACATGGTTCTGAAGCAGCAGTGATTCTTCACTGCAGACACACACACATATCACATGAATGCACTAGAAATCTTGAAGTCATTTGCTTGACATGTGCCTGGTACTTTGACTTTAGTTTCTCAGGTCTTTAGAAGAGCTTTAAAGCATGGTTGGTAGTGCACACATGCAAAACTGACAGAAGTTTCTCTGAAGTTGGCTCCTAAAGGCACGGCGGGTAGGGTATGGTTCCACAGTTAGAATGCGTCTCCTGAGCACCGTCCCATCTTTTACACAGTACACACTCCTGCTGGGCTGACCACTTTCCCACCCTTCACAGGCTCGGCGACAGTGGTCCAGGCCGGTAGCTGTGAAACTGCAGAAAAGCCCCCTGCTGGCCCATGACGCACACTCAGAAACTGCCAGCAGCAGGCCCTCCCAATCAACTGGCACGGGACCCTTGGAGAAAAGGTCAGCAACTCAAGTCTAGCTCCTAAGGGACTGAGTATCCAGTTAAAATAGCTCCTCTTAAATGAGTTAGTTCAACAAAAGGATTAAAAATTTAATTAAGACACAGTAAATCCCTGGACCAGAATTAAATGATGGAAGTGCCTGATATCACAATCTGAACTAGGCTTCCAGAAATATCCTAAACGATAAGGCTGTCTTTATCATCAAGGAAGAAGTGCAAGATTGGCATTTATGTTTATTTATCACCATATAAACTGATCCTGTTCTGAATTTCATGTCTTGCCCAACTGGAATTTTCCCAGATATATTAACTCTCATTCGGCCAGATATGAATGACGACACAATGATTACAAACACCAGTGACAATACAGAATGCCTCAAATATACAGACCAAGTCTCTGGTACACTTAAATGTCAGGGAGGGGAAGGGGGTGATTATCATTCTGAAATATACACAAGACGCCCAGAAATACAACATATCATTTCCATTACTCATGATTAGTAGGCCTTTTGACAACAGCATTGTGATAGCGTCAGTGGGAAATTTTAATAGATACACATGGCTCAAAATACCTTTTTAAAAGAGTGACTTAGAAACACAAAAGCCTCCCCTGTTTAGTTACAAAGCCTGCATTTCCTCCTTTCTTACTGGGACTCCCTGTGCCTATATCTAGCTTTACTCTTCCCAGACCTCTGTGATGTCACAACCCGGAGCCACTGACCCAAACACCACTGGCCAATTGCTATGGAAATGAGGTGGTCCCGATTTAGTGCCCAAATCTCACTCCTGGAGGAGAAAAACAAAATTCCACTTTGACGGCCTTGATATCTTCCATCACTTCACAAACTTCTCCCAAAAAGGTTGGGGAGAGGGGACCAAACAACTCCAATAAAACCTCACGGCCTTCCAACTAAGTCTACATGCTGCCCCCAAGGAGGCAGCTGGGCCACAAGGGTCCAGCCAAGCCTCAGAGTCGCTCTCCACTCAGAACCACCCCCCTTCAAGCTTCTCAAAATCCCAACTAGTGATACAACCCCATGAGCAAAACCCACAACCTGGTTTAAAAGGGCAGACAGGGTAAGTGGAGTGCCACAGACACCATGCGACCTTGCATGAGTGGGTCCTTGGATGGGTCAAGCAGAGCCTCACCAGCCCAGCTGAAGCCCCGCCCCGCCCCACCAGTCCACCCTGACTTCCGGGTCAGAGCCCCGGGGCTTCTGCCTGGGCCCCCTCCTCTCCTCTCGGCGTCATGAGGCCCCACTGGGCTCTCGAGTCACCTCCTGGTCCAAGCACGCAGCTCCCCGCCATGTGAGTCTGCAGCAGAATCTGCTGGGGGTGGGGGAGGGGAGGGCAGGGTTCTCTCAGCCACATCAGAGTGACTGCATAGAACCTCCAGGAGCTCTCACTCAGCATTCTCTTTTTAAAGCTGCCCACAGTTCTCAGGCCCAGACACATAATCAAGCAACCATCAATGGAGATGATCACCTTCAAAAGGCAAAGTGGTTCAGAAACAGAGTTCTGTACAGGTCCAAATGAAGATGTGCATATATATCCTGTTTCAGCTCCATCACCTCCTCTCAAGAATTCAGATACAGTTGATTTCCCAAGGTTCTGATCCACAAAACCCCTGGCTCTGAGCTCAAAGAAGCAACTGATAACTCAATGGTGAGAGACAGAAGATGTACCACTCCTGCTGAGCTGGGCTGAGAGGCTGGGCTGGTTATAGGAAGGCGTGGTGGGGTTGGGGGCGGGGGGCAGGCAGCAGCTGGGGCCCTGCCCCCAGCAGAGGACAGGAAGGAGGGGGTCCGAGAAGGCTTCCACAAAAGCAGGGACCCACAGGTGTCGGCTGTCATACTCCCCAAGGAGCCAGAACGTCCTGGGTGTTGGGAAACAATTCTGGACGCCCCTACAAAACCTACAATTCTGTGGGAGAACTTTGTGCTCAGTGTCATTCCCGTCCCCCTGGGGGAGTCTCAGGGCGAAGACAGAGGATGCGTCCTCGGGCAGAACGTGAAGGTCATCGAGGACACAGACATGGAGCGGAAGAGCCAGTCTGAGCTGTCTGTTCTCACGCAGGTCAACCACCCCAGCAGCCACCGGGCGGGAAGGAGCCAGTGCCGACCAGGCCGCAGAGCCCACGGGCTCTGCCAACCAGCTCAGTCCCATCTCAGCCCAGTCAGACAAGGACCACGGTGCCCGTGGGCTGTGAGGAAACGCCCTCCCTCCCTCTGTGAAACCTCCTAGAACTGGAAAACTTCGACTATGCTTCAAAAGAGTCATTTCAAATCCATTATCACATTACCAGGCTCTCCATCCCCTCAAGGGGTGGATTCCCTTCCTGACACTGGTCTTCTGCACACACGACCCACTTGGGAGGTGGAG